CCCACCTCACCCACCTACAGAACCCTCTCTATCTCTACAGCTCCCCCACATACGCCCCTAGCTGCCTGCGGGCGAGCGAGCCCCCCCGGGGCCGAGGGACCCTCCGCCCGCCGGGGCGGAGCTGAGGGGGCTGCGGCAGGGCCGGGCGGGTTTGACCGAGCACCGGCGCCGGCCGCGGGTTTGCGCAGGCGCAGAAGCCGCAGCCGACGCGGGGAGCGGGCGGGTCCGTCCCCTCACGGCGAGGCGGGAGCGGGTGCCCGGGGGTCGCCGCCGAGCGAAGGCGGAGCGGTGGCCGAGCCCAGCCTTCGGCGCCGCGCTGCCGGGCGCCGCGTTTTCACCGCGCTCCCCTTCCGCGGGTGGAGCCGCGGGTTTCTCTCCATCCCCCGCCCCCGCGGTGATAAAGCCCGTGGTTTTACCCGGGGGTCAGGGTTGGTGCGTGCGCGGCCCGGCGGTCGGCAACGGCCGTTGCGTTGGGCGGGTGCAGCAGCAGAGGTTTATTTCGCGGTTTTCAGTTTTCCCCGTTGAGGTGTTTCCCAAACGTGAGGGGTGCCCGGTGCGGGCAGGGCTGCGCTGTGCGTGCAGGTCTGATGCTAGTGATTCAAAAAGTCAGGCACTGACATCATACTGGGTTAAGGAAAAAATAAATTAAAAAAAAAAAACATGCAAGTGGAAAAGCGTGCAGGACTCCGTATGCCAACTCAAGGGTGTTCAGCAGACACAGTCGACTGTGGTAGGGGCACACCTTTGCTGGGCTCGGTGTGTTTTGCGTCCTCTGTGGTGCAGGCTGACGAGGCCCCGCAGCTCATGGAGCCCCCCTAGTTCCAGAGGGCCTCGGCAGTGAAAAGCGGTACGTCTCGCAGGAGCCCTTGGAGAGCTGCGTCTGCGGGACAGGGCCCCGTTTCTGGAGCCGGAGCCGAGGCCGAGCTGCCAGCTCGCAAGCAGGAACGGAGGAGCTGCTGGTGGGAGCCAAACGTCCGGAGGAGAAGGGAAGCAGGCAACGGGCTGAAAGGCATTTAGGGTGGTTAAAATACATCTTCCTATGGCTGCTGTTGTAGCTACCACTGAACGATGCTACTCATCACCACCCACCCTCGAATTCTTCCATTTATAGTGCTGTTCATTTAGAGTAAGCCCCACCGTTTTCAATACCCTTCACACCTAACAGAGGCACCTTTAAAGATAAGAATGCATTAGCTGGCAATGCATGCCAACAGAGCTGGAAGTCTTCGTAGCCCAGTGTAAGAGACCACACACATTCCATTCCTGCTTCCAGACTCTGATAAGTGTCCTGTGCAACCAGAATTTGTGATTTCTTGCAGGCATTAATTGATTACAGCAAGTTCTTGCTCTACTTGAATTACTTCTTAAACCACTCATCATTCTGATAAAATGCTTACACTTAATTTCTAGACATTTTTTCAAAGTAGGTAGACTCAGAAATACTGGCTATGCTGTGAGAAGACAAAGTAAATTAAGGAAATGTGTATGCTGTACAATTAGAATGACAGCTATCCCTTTACTAACTAGAAATGCTCTTGCGGGCGACTGGGTAACTTTAAAACAACAGCAGCAAACAGAGCACTCTTTTCCAAGACCTTTCTGCCAGGAACACCTCGTATCTCTATTCAACCCACTTCTTACTTAAATAACCACACAAGTATATCATGCCTGGAGGAAAACTTAGTGCATGTTGGGATTTGCATGTATTTCATGGGAAAAAGAGTAGTGGAAAAGGGAGGTGAGTGAATGAGAAGTAGGTGCATTTGCCTTCAGGACAAAGTTTCTCATTTTTCTCTTTGATTATGCAATCTAAGATCTTCTCTTTGGCATCTTTAAAAATGGTGCTTTGTCACTGATTCCACTGTTTCTTCAGCAAAAATCTTCTGTTTGCGTCAGCACGGACTTCACAGAAGGGCATTAAGGCAACTATTCTTTACTTTTTAAGACACAGATCCCAAAAGAACCCACTATTGCCCAAATACTCCCAACCTATGTACCCATATTTACTTTGAAAAGCAATCCCAAATGCTACAAGGTAACTAGGGCCCTTGGGCACAAGTGCTATCTGTACGTCAGTCGGACAAATGTATTTATTCCTCTGGAAACTCAGATTAGGGTTTTAATGCAGGCATGGGTGTGGAGAGAAGGGAAGAGAAGCTCACACATGCAGTTGATTTATTTTTTACCTACTCACAACACAGCCAGTGTAATAGATTGAGAGCCATTGCTTTTCATCTCCGGCTCCTTGGCAAAGCAAGAAACTAGGGTCAGAGCTTCCCCACCCTTTCCTTTAATGAGCTGATTTGATTGTTTTGGTTTTTGATTGTAAAACACCCCTGTTTATTCCAGTGCCATCCCCTCGATGACACTCCAGTGCCCAACGTGCATGCAGACACCACGTACGCAACAGAACACGTCTATTCTGTGCGTGAGAAAAGACAGGCACTCTTGAGAAAACGCTGCCCACAACCCTGCTTTTGCTCTTCCCAAAAGTGATGAAATGTGGATCTGCTTCATTCTCTTATCATTTGAGCATCTTACTCTTTGGTTTCTGCATGTTGCTGCATATAACACACTGAGCGTGTCTTACCTTTGAATTTAATTTATGGTGAACTGAACACACACTAACACTTTCCCCTATACAAGTAACAGAATACAGGTTCTGTTAGAAAAAAGCACCTAAACTAATGTTAACAGCACTGCATCCACCATGACTTACCATAGTGAGGTACAGAAGGCTAAGTGTGTGTTCTCCCACATCGTTTTTAGCTATACTTCCAATGTTATTTCATTGCCTCTCAGGTCCCTCTTTCCCCCCACTTTTGAATCTGTTTCTTGAAGTTCCCTGCACGTGAGAGGTACAAGTCCCAGAGACAGTCGCGTTCCTGCGAGCTCTGGGGAAGCAGCCAGCTGGGTCGGGAAGAGATACTGAAATGAGCACGTGGCTTGAGGGGCAGGCTGACAGCGCTCGGCTGGTCCCTGCTCTCATTAACACCACCCAGCGCTTCAATTCCTACGTGAGTGATGTTGGCAAATGAGCCAGAGCATGTGCTGTCGCCTTCCTTGAGCTAGCCTCACGGCAAGAACCTCAGACTCTTGTGGGTAGGAGAAGGGTGCAAATCTGTAGAAAATTAGCATCATTAATTTCTCCTAATTTTAACTCCTCATTCTGTCATTACTACACATCTGTTTTTTGTAGCCTTTTAAATTTTGCCACGCTTACAGGACACCTTAAAAACTTTTTAGGATCAAAATGTCTAAGTAAACAGAAAAGTACAGGAAAGCACTCAACTGACAGCAAAAAGACATTACAACTTAAAAACTTTGCTTTAGATTAAATAAATCCCCAAACTCAGTATTTTTTGTTTTGACATCAGCTGCTCTACAGCTGATACACCTAATAACCCAATTTCCAAAAGCATTAGCGATTAACCAGGCACTGTAACTGGTCAAAACAGCTCCTGGGTGGGGCGGAGAGGCCATCGCATTGCACTGCAAACGCTGATGAAACCCTGGCTCTAGGGGTGAGACTGAGCTCTCCTGGGCAAGTCTCCCCTCCTCGGCCATGCTCAAAGCATACCTGCTCTGCCCTTTTCAGCTCAGCTGTTGGGAATTTAAGTTTAGCAACAGTGAGCTTGGACTCTTTGTAAGAGTGACCCGACATGCCTGCTGCCGTTAGCTGTACTGCAGGGGCTCAGTATGCTGAATTTCAGTCTGAGCTGAACTGGCAGCAGAACACATGCAGAACAGCATGCAGGAGGGAAAATAAATCCCACAGAGCTTTTCCACAGCATTTTAGGGTAAGAAACTTATTTTCCAACCATGATCACACTGTATGGCGAGGTACCTGTGGCTTTTGACAGTGTTCCAACATTTTTAATCAAGAAAATTTAATGCCTCCTTGCCAAATACAGTGAAAACATCACAGTAGCATCTCAGCACTGAAGAAAATCACTCTGAGTTGATGACCAACACGAAGGAAACACTTTTCTTCTTTCTCCTGCGGCCAACATGACACTTTGGATTTGCTACAGGGCAAAAGCCCTTATGTGAAAATAAACCTTGGTAACTAGTCCCACAGATGCAAGTCACTTGGCTGCAGAGTCAGTCTCCAAAACTGCAAGCAGAGCTTTGGTGTGCATCATGGTGTGGATCAGCAGTATCCTCCTCCAGTATGTTTCATTTTCCTTTACACCAGATGAGGCCAACACACAACGACCATGAAAAGGCGTGCCAGAAATACAAAGGGTTAAAGATTTTCCAATAGGTATGCCTGTATCAATAATAAATGTAAGGCCAAAAGTAATTGGGAGTGACATTATTATTACTTTAAATAGCACCAAGGAAATCTCATTACCAAACAAGAAATACTTCACAAAGTAATACTAACAAAGATATTTACCCTGTCCATTTTAATGTAGTAACCTCTAGTTTTTATGACTGTCATTCTGGTGTATGGTATTTTTTCCATTCCTAGTTTTCAATATAAGAAATGCAGGCATTTTTATGTATGCAGAACACTAGCAAATCACTCTGACAAGCTGACAGAAAAATCAGTTCTAGAAATAAATTCAACTGTACCTGGCTGTTAACTTTAAGTAATTTCTGGAACAATAAAAAGGTACAGAAACATAGCTGGTTGCATAGGAGACTGACTGGCAAGTTTCTGCAAAAACACTTGCTTTTTATACTGGCACATCTCAAAAGAACAGTTTAATTTTAGAGAGTGTAATAGCACTTGATACAGTAGGTTTTCCTGAGAGAACTCGCCACAGAGTGTAGCCAAGATTTAATCTCCTCTGCTTTCTGTTATTACCCAGTAACAAGCTACAGAATAAATATCTTAGAATGCTACCCCATCTTTCTGTATATCGTGAGATGTACAAAGTTCTATGAGATAGTGATTAAGTTTATCACTTTTGAAGCAAGGCTATGTGATTCAAAGAAAAAATGTTTGATGCATTAAAGAACAGAAAAGAATAACACTGGTAGAGAAAAGGTTCTGTACCTTGATGCTCCTTTACTTCAGAGCCCATGTGCCACAGACAGCATTCAATTAAATAATAGTCTTATTAATAAACAATGACAATACGCAGAACACTACACAATATCATTCCTTTGGCTCAAAGTAATTCCAGTTTGTTACTGAACAGTTGCAAGAACTCCAACACATGGCTGAAAACAATAACCTTCACATCCTATAGATGAAAAGGCTAGTAACAAATTGGCAAAAGGAAATTTAGATTGCACATCCCTTATGTAGCTTTATTTCTTGTGCAGTTTGAAACAGCATCAGTATAACTTTGGTATTCATCTGAAAAAGGCTGAGTTGGGAGGGCAGCTGGCAGTCAGTAGTTCTCCAAGGTAAGCTCTGTCTGAAAAGGCATCCATTTCCAACTTCTCCAAGCAAAATAATTTGTTTGAAACAAAACCAAAGTAATTTGTTTTGAAATGTTTCATGTTGCAGCACACCCAAGATACAGCTGTGTTCTCATAGGGATGTTAGTAACAGTAGTAATAATAAAATCATGCTGAGAGATGACAAGGTACCATAGCAATGGTTGCAGGGAAAGTCAAGATAATTTCTAAAAGGAGTGCTCTGGGAAGATTAGCTTTTAGAGAACTTTCTTTTGCCTGGCCTAGTCAAAGCCCTTGCAGGGGTTATAATTTTCCCTCCTGAAGCAGAATGTTATTTAAGATAATTTTTACAGTAAGAACAATCATCCCCTTGAACAGCCTCCCCAGGGACACAGTAGAATCCCTGTCACTGGAGGTTTTAAAGATGCAGTTGGACAGAGTGCTAGATAATCTCATCTAGGCTCCCTTTCCAAAAAAAGGCTGGAACAGAGAATCTTTTGTGGCCCTTTCCAACCTGCGCTGTTCTATGGTTCTATGATTTTGGGGGTACTGAGAGACCGAAGAGAGACATTTCTTTCCTATGAGGCCACCAACCACCATGCAAGCATTTATTGTGTGATCATTCCTGTTTAAATCAGCTAGAATCAATCACTACCAGAAAGGTAAGATGCTAACTTGCCTGGAAGAGATGATGCAGGCCAGTTAGCGTGGGAGGGGGTATGCTAGGCAGCTTAAGAGTACAGAATACCAGAGGATCACATTAGGATAAAGAGATTTTGTGAAGTCAGAGAGGTCTTTGTAATGGTTGATTACCTCCATATACAATTCTTATCAAAGAGGCAATTCCATGTTAAAATGACTCAGGTTGATCCAATGCATCATGAATGCTACTATCAGTAGCATTAACATAGAGCAGATAAACTCACTCTGCAGCTAAGGCAAAAACTCTCTTTCCCACTTAAATGCTTAACCACCAGTTACACACATCTAAACAAAACCCTGATCTTGTAGAAACTCTCTATGCAGCACTGTAACCCTCCGTGTGTGTGTACATAATATATATATCTGTATTTTTTTAGATGTTAGACATCTTTTATTTACCATTACAACTTGACCTAGGATCTCTCCATTTGCTTTCATTCATTTCTCACCCACCCCCCCCCCCCCCCCCAACACACTGACAAAAGCTAACATGCCTTTGCCATTAGGCACAAAAATGGAGGGGGCAGGGGAAGGGGGGAGTTTCAAGTACATACACAACATATTTCATAAATAAAACCTAGTTTCCTCTTGACCAGTGGGTTTGGTGTGAAGTGGAAGCATTTGTCGACAAGACAGCTGAGGAGAAACTGAACTGGCTCAAGCCAGTGGTGAAATACTCCAGGTGCTAGAGGGGCATAAAACTGAACTTCTCAGGATAGTGGGAGTCTAATAAAATTACAGGATCTCACGGTATTGTGTGAAAAGGATCTGAAGAAGACAAAAGGAGTTAGGGAATGAAAAATTGTCTTTCCCACACTGGTAAAAGTGTCCCTTTCTGGTATGCATCCTTGTCCCATCAAATACAGGTCCCTTCCACACAGACATTTTATAGGCTCACTGACATTTACAGAAAAGTAGTTCTGCTCCACTGACACACAAAATCTGTCACCAGACACCCCTTTCCTATACATGTCCTGTTGCAACCAAGCTTTACACAGAGCCTAGCACACTGAGCCTCCAGACACTGCTATGGCACCAAGAAAACCACTGGAGGTTAACTTTAATATCCAGACATTTATACTTTGGAAGAATTTGTTGTAGAGATTATAAGGCATCCTTTAAGGGTCAAGTTGTCCATGTTAATACAGACTTTCAAAGCTGAAGTAATTCCTAGTCATATTTTTGCTAATACATATAACATTTTCATAAATATGATAGGCACAGACAGGATTTTTACAACCATTAATCTATCTTCACTGGAAAACATAGCAGCTGCTTCATCCTCAGCAAAAATCTTTAGCATGGTTCTGTGGCGCAGTCTGCTGTCCCAAAGGACCTTGTTCTTCAGCCACAGCTGGAAGGACAGATTGCCTTTTCTGGATTCCAGGCAGCAACACGTTTTTTTACTTTCTTACTTTTTGATATCAGCTGCTTTTTCCCTGTGGGAAAGATACTAACTTCTTGACATGCGTAAGTCCAGACTGCACATCAATGTATGAAGAATGGAATGAGAGTGTAGTATCAAGCCATGATGTATTTGACCCAACCCACTATTTATATCCCAGACAGTCATGCAAACCTTGCCCATTATACACTAGGGCATGCTGCCTCCATGTGGCAGAATATACTCTAGATGTTCTTTTTTCTTGTACTTCACACAATCTTGTGTGCGGCTATGAATTTTGGAAAGAGTTTTGGAAACAGAAAGGGCAATATGGGGATGAAAAAATTAACGAATCATATTGATAACTGCTTTTTGCACAGATAGTCACAGGAACACACATTAAAGTACAAAGGCTATATATATATATATATATGTATGTATATATATATAAAAGAATGCTTTCTCAAATGTTTATTACACAATGAAAGAAAACTAATTGAAAAAAATTCACATCCTGAACTTGATCAAAGGGGACTGATTGCTCTTCAGGCATATTAGCTAAAAGTAAGATTGAATGAGCAGTTTTGAAAAATTACATAAAACCGTATCACATTGCTTTTTTCAGTTCATAACTGGTTTGATTCAAACTTGATTAGAAAACCATAAAAGTTCCTTTAGCATTAGACCAGCTATCTGATTCAAGTAGCACTAACACCGTGTTATGGGTACAGGGTTTTCCCTATGACTAAAATGGAAATACTTTGTGAAATTGGTATATTTTCTTCCACACCACACTTATCCCCACCCCAAAGCCCAAACCTCCACCTACTTTACCAATGTTGTTAGATACAAGACCTAAAGAAGATAAAAAACAAGACAGTTATTGTTTTGCCCATTTGTGTCTTTACATTTCAGTCTTTACCAGCTGACCACAAGTGCATGCCACCTCACTGTGAACAAGGTCTTCATATGTAATTTCCAGACTGGAAAGAAGTGACAAGGTATGGCTGAAAGGGTTTTGTAAATCGCCAGTGCCGTAATATTTAGGATTTCCCTGCTTTGGTTAAGATGTATTATGATGCTCCTGTCAAATCTCAATCTTACTACACAGTGCAAGGAGGAGCTAAATTTATGGTGAGATTTGTTTCCTTTTTTTTTATGACAGTGCAAGGTCTAGAGACAGCATGAGACTCTCAAGATCAGGGTGTTGCAGGGTGCTATGCCACTTTTAGCTTACATTTCATTGTATAAACATTTTCCCATCTCTGTTTGGTATCCAGCAAACAATCCTATGAGAAATTTTCCAAATGTCTGTGTGTTTTTGTCTCTAAGTTCTGTCCATTTCAAAACTTTTCAAAGTATAAATTAGTAGCTATACATCTGTTGTTGCTGCTCTGTTTGAACCTGTTGCTGTCCTGACTGCTGTTGTGCCGGCTGTGCCTGGGGCTGCAATACATCAGCCTGAGGCACTGACCTCCACGTCAGAGGATGCTGTTCTGTTATCTGGTTCCCCAGAGGAGCAATGGAGTTCACCAAGGTGGTCAGGTTTATAAAATGGGCCACAGACTGAGGATTGGCTGCCTCTGGCTGCGGCTGGATCTGAATGTCATTTTGGCGGTTGTGCAGCATGGCGGAACCACTGACGGTGTCAAACGTCACGGTGAGAATTGAGTTGTCCAGCTGTAACTGGCGTTCAGGTGCAGTCAGATGGCCCACAGCCACTGGCTGGAGGTTTGTGAATTGGGTCCCAGCTGCCGTCGTAATGGGGGTTACAGTGATGTTTGTCAGCCCGACAGAACTGGAAGGGGCTGTGACATTTGGGTCACCAAGGGTCACCACCACCTGAGGGAAAACAGAAAGGTAACCTCAACCTTATGTCCTGCACCTGACTACCAAATACCGAGCATCAAGAAAGATCACCTGAGTGCTGATGGGCTCAGATGTTGCTACTGCCAGCAAGAGAAGTCACACATACAGAGGGGAACAGAGTGCTTGGAAAATAACAATGTCCACATATCGCAAAAAGAAGGTAATGGGAGGGAGGCATATGCAACATGCAAAACAAGCAGCTGAATTAACTGTCACTTTTAGTCACAGCTTCAGCCAGCTAGTGGTATCTGGCAAACAAGGAGATGGTAATACCAAAGGAAGTGGAAAAAAAAAAAAAAACCCAAAACAAACCAACCATGAGGAGCTTACTGGTCCAACTCCTTGTTTTTTTAGTGTCTACTCATCTCTGTGTTACCACAATTTATCAAATTAGCCCTAAATGGTATGATCACTCCTTTGTGTTTGCTTTTAGGACAAAAGAATTGTTATCCCTCTAAGCAACGATTACTGCCCATCACCCTGCTACTGCAGCTCACCTGCTGGATGCTCTGTACAGCTGAATTAGTCTCATCTCCAACATTCCCCGTGAATTCACCTTCCTTCTCTGTGTATTCACTGAAGGGAGGGTCCTCAGGCACTTGAGCTTCCTCCTCCTCACCTGACTTTTGTTTCCTTTTCTGACCACGTTTAGGAGCTTTTATATGCTGTTTCCCTTCTGGTAATTCTCCCTGTTCCAAGGCTAGTTCCGGCTGGAGCAACACATTTCCAAACAAAACATCAAGGCATTTTGCTTAGTGAAGTTCCAAGTAAGAGACTATAACCTGAAGCTGTTTTACTGTTGATTCTCAAGTGAAGAAACAAACTTTAGCAAAAACGTGATTTCAGAAAATGAGACCTTACTCTGTAACTACTTCTGTTTTACCAGCACCCATGTTACATAACAACATAGATCAGCAGCTTGCATCTGCTTATACACATTAAACTGTGGCTGACTCTCTAAAAAAGCACATTCCTTGGCCATCAGTCTACGCTCAGCTACATTCAGTACCAAAAAAGTGACGTCCTCACCTCAACCTCCCATAGGCCTGGAGCCTACTGGCCACCAGAATTCTGCAATGGCAAATTTACCTGAACAATCCCAATGGAGGAGGCATCAATGGTAGTTGTCTCTGGCAGCTGCTCCAAATCGTCAATCCTCACCGAAAGAATCTGTGGATAAAGAAGTATCAGCCGGTGAACCGCAGCGGTGCATACCACAGTTGAACAATACAGCATCACCCTAATAAATCCTGTCGCAAAGCAAAAATGATATAATCTAACATTTTACACATATAATTTAATACAAGGGATTTAACCGCGGCTTTTTAAAAATAACCTTATGATATATCATCTTTTCTTTATCGCTGAAAACCAAAGTTTAAGGACAACAATAGAAGAATATGTTTACTTTCATATTCTAGATAGAACACAATCCACTGGGAAGTGATGAATTCTATAGAAAACAAACAATGTGTTTGAAAAAAAAAATATTATTTTATCATTTCTATTTATAAACCTATCAACTATTTTCTACTCCATTATTTTCCACTAAATCTATACATCTCAGCTTATCAAAGAACAGAGACAAATTGTCCACTGGACTGCAGACATGTAGCCACATTTTTATTCCAAAAATCAATAAACAAAGCTTTTTGTTGATTTCTTTCCCAGTCACAATGATAAAAAATAGGGATAGTTCAAGGCAAAGCAATACTAATGATAAATTTTGAGTTAAAAAAAAAAAAGCCTCAAAGGGAACAGACAAGCCTTAGTCAACCTAAACAAGAAATGCTGAGGAGAAACACAATAGCTATTCAGAAATTTAGAACAAGGAAAAAGCCCCACTGGGGTCAGACAAAACATCTCTCTAATCCAGTTACTCTGCAGTCAGCATTCATCTTTAATACTAAGAATAATTTTGTATCATCAGCAGATGCTGCCATCACCTCTCTATTCACCACTTCTTTCAGATCACTTCTGAATACAGAGAACACAATGAAGAAAAAGAATCAATTATACTCCCTAATGGATGAAGACAAAACATGAAAAAATATACATTTAAGCTGAGGCAGAAAAAGAAAGGAGATTTAAAATGATCAGAACAACTTCATTTTTAGGGACTGACAATCAGATATGTTTACTACTGAAACACAACATAATGAAAGGGCTGATTCAGTTAAGTGCATGCTTAACAGACACGACCTACAATTGGCCCCAAAAGAACAGAAAAAAAGAGAAAAAAGAAAAAGTCATTCTTTTCAAGTCACTGAAGGAAATAAGCTTTCTTAAAATAAGAAAAAAAACCCAAAACAAAACCACGACACAACCTACCTGCCAAACTAACTCACCTCTGGGTGTTTACGCCTCATATGTCGACTCATGGATGCTCTGGTAGAAACCTTCGTCCCACACAGCTGGCAGCTCTGGGCTTCTACCTTATCATGAGTGAGCTGGATGTGCTTCTGTAGCATGTAATCAGTGACATATTTCTTATCACAGACTGAACATGTCCACTGTTTTCCTACTGGTGGCAGATGGAAGGAAATGCTGTTAGCAACGGCCTCCGAAGATGAGTATCGTATTGTCAGCATCTCAAGAGGAACAATTTTATGTTGGTAACTTGATGTGTAACACTAGTTCCAAGACTGGCAAGTCTAAAGCAAGCCTAGGAACAAAATTAAGCTATTATCTTTGGATACTGTTTTTTAGAGGATTTACCTGTATGAATCAATTTATGAGTCTCCATTGTATTTCTCTCACTAAACGTCTTGCCACAGAGCTCACACATGAAATCTTTGATTCCTGCATGAAGAACATATTTTGCATCAGAGTGAAAACAGTCTAAGGTATCTGGGACAATTCTGAGTCTCATATTACTACTACTAATAATAATAAAAAAAAAAAAATCACAGGCATAAAAGTGGAAGTAGTCCAGCTTCACTAGCTATTTTTATCTAAGCCATGCCACTATATCTGGCAGAGAGTGAATCCAAGAGTAATTATGTGGGAGGTAAAATTTTGTTTTGGGAAATGAGAACTTGAAGACTAACTTAAAACAAAACAAACACTCTAGACCTCCCCTGGACCAAACCCACCTCTCTTATAACAGCAAAACATGAAACTAAATTGTCTCTAAATTGGAGAGACATGGATTTGACCCCCTGGTGGATAAGGAAATGTCTAGATCGTCACACACAAAAGACTGGCAATGGCTCAGTGTCCAAGTGGAGAGCGGTGACAACGGGCGTTCCTCAGGGGTCGGTGTTGGGACCAGCACTGTTTAACGTCTTTGCTGGTGACATGGGCTGTGGGACTGAGTGCACCCTCAGCAAGTTTGCTGACAACACCAAGCTGTGTGGTGTGGCTGACACGCCAGAGGGAAGGGATGCCATCCAGAGGGACCTGGACAGGCTGGAGAGGTGGGCCTGTGCAAACCTCATGAGCTTCAACAAGGCCACGTGCAAGGTCCTGCACGTGGGTCAGGGCAATCCCAAGCACAAATACAGGCTGGGTGATGAGTGGATTGAGAACAGCTTGAGGAGAAGGACTTGGGGATATTAGCAAATGGAAAACTGACTGTGACCCAGCAATGTGCACTTGCAGCCCAGAAAGCCACCCGTGTCCTGGGCTGCATCAAGAGAAGTGTGGCCAGCAGGTTGTGGGAGGGGATTCTGCCCCTCTACTCTGCTCTTGTGAGACCCCACCTGCAGTGGTGGGTCCAGCTCTGGGGCCCCCAACATCAGAAGGACATGGCCCTGCTCGAGTGGGTCCAGGCGGCCACGAAGATGATCAGGGGGCTGGAGCACCTCCATGAGGACAGACAGAGAGTTGGGGTTGCTCAGCCTAGAGAAGAGAAGGCTCCAGGGAGACCTGATAATGGCCTTCCAGTACTTAAAGGGAGCCTACAGGAAAGATGGTGAGGGACTCTTTGTCAAGGAGTGTAGGAATAGGATGAGCGGTACCGCTTTTAAACTGAGAGTAGATTTAAATTAGATATGAGGAAGAAATTCTTTCCTGTGAGGGTGGTGAGGCACTGGCACAGGTTGCCCAGAGAAGCTGTGGCTGCCCCCTCCCTGGAAGGGTTCAAGGCCAGGTTGGATGGGGCTTTGAGCAACCTGGTCTAGTGGAAGGTGTCCCTGCCCATGGCAGGGGGGTTGGAACTAGATGATCTTTAAGGTCCCTTCCAACACAAACCGTTCTGTGATCTTTCCCCAGTTAAACCCTGAACATGTATCCGAGTGCCTGACTCCTCTGTACCCAAGCCTGGTTGAGGCTACCAAGTCCAGCGCCCCCATTTCTCACCAGCCCTGCGTTACCAGGATGTTATGAGGGCCCAGCCTGATCCTCATATCCTGTGATTCTATGACAGCAACCAAACTATGCATCTTAATTGTATAACAGCTGGTCTTGGCTGATAAGAGGACAAAATCTCACTTTTCAAAACAAGAATATGTCTATTTTTTAATTCGTGTTCCTCATACTCTCTGACCGTTCTATGTAAGAATTCTCTCAGGAAGCATTTAAATGATTCAGTACAATTTTTTTACATCTTTAGAGACCTCACCTGTGTGTCTTTTGTAATGCTTCAGCATATTGACTTTCTGTGCAAATTTTCGGTGACATTCCTTGCATTCATATTCTTTAATCCCTTTGTGAAGTTTCATGTGGTGACGAAGCGCATGTTTTGTCTTCATTCCTGTGAGACAGAAAGTACAGCATGACCATTAGTCCATTGCTCCCACCTTTAGAGGAGAGCTCAGGATGATCATGTTGTTAGCCAACAGCTATAAGATTGTATCTGCTGCGTGTCCACAATTGCGTATTTTTATTGTTTAGGTAGCAGTGAATATCATCATAATTATTTTAATTCCTGGAAAAAGCTCTGGAAAACATCTGAGTAACCACTGAGGAAGAAATAAAACAGCCCGGACAAGCAAAGACAAAACATCATTAGAGATGTCAGACTTAATGCCCTCCACTAAAATACCAGTTCAGATTTGTTCAAGTTACAGTGCAAACAATTCAAAAAGTCAAAGCAACTTTGACTCTTAAGGCTCTTAGAGAGAGAAATTCATCCATTTCTTAAGCCTGAAAACAGCCTAGAATTAAAAAATTAACTTGTATTCACTTTTGTGCTGCAAATGCATCGGAACTCAGTCAGGCAAGCACTCCTCAATCTGACAAAAGTAAATTTTATTAACATCAGTTTTGTCTTACAGGCCATGAAACTAGATTGTATAAGATTAGGGGTAGTTTATGTACCCATAAGGCTCCTGATTAATACAGTTTCTACTGCTCAAAAATGCAGAATTTACATCACTCTGAGGACCTTCCCAATATTCTAAGAACGGAAGAAGTTTTAATTCAGATATTCACCTGATATTCAGTATCACAATTAATGGAAAACAAGGCATTAGACATACCTTTGCCACATTCTGCACACAAGTATTCTCGGATATTATCATGGACTCGCATATGTTCTTTTAACATGTCTTTTCTAGCAAATGATTTGCCACATTGCTCACAAGCATGACTTTTTACACCTTAAAAATAAATTTAAAAGACAACATAAACAAAAAAATGTTAATGAAAAATGTGCATCTCCTGAAAACTGACTAAACTGGTGAATTAGAGGGCAACAGTCCACCTGTGCTGTCAACCACATCTTTCATGCATATTGTGGCCCAAACTAAATTAGAAGACTTTGGAGAGAGAGAAAAGCTGGCTCTTTGTGTGAGATCTGAAAAAAAAAGACAAAGCTTGAGATTGGAAAATACTGAATAGCATGAAATAATAATGAGCTGTTAAAATGATTTAGCAATAGCAGTTTTCAGCCTGTGTAATGGTGAAAAGGTAGCATGGATAAGAATCTGGGGAAGAACAGAATACAGAATTAGAATTTTTAGCAGGTGATTCCTGCATCATATTAACTAGGAATCTGGATTGTGTGCCTAGACCAAATATCTTCATTAATACTATCTGCTTTAGATAACTTGTCTACCCTAAAAGCATAAATAAAACATTTATCTTATTGTAACTGACAGTAAAAACCCTTAACTTATTTCCTCCTGAAAAAAAATAAGGCAGGCACTGGCAACAGAAATTTCTTTTTAATATTGATAATAATAAACACATTTTTACCTGTATGTATAAGCTTATGTCTTTCCAGATTTCCTATACTGTTAAAAATCCTTCCACAGATTTCACATGGATGGATGTATCTGAAACCGAAGAGATCAAAAACTGTCATTCTTTTACTGAGACAGGGGTGGTTTTCAGGCATCTCTGTCAGTAACTATATTTCATTTGTTAATACTAACTACTATAAAAAGTTCCTTGAAACATGAATGCATTTTTAAAATGAGCCTTAAGAAATCCCCAAATTCACTGCAAGTTTGGAGCAGTCTGGTATTGCTCAAATCATAGCTTTTAGAAAATATTTACCAAAAATCATAGATTTATACTTTACAAAGCCCAAACTGGGAGGCTGTTGACTAGTCATCTGTGTGAACTGAATTATTAGTGATATATATTTCAAGCTTTTAATAAACATTTTAACACTCATTATACAGTTTCAGATATCTTAGTACAGCCCAATTCTCTAAAAACATCAGGTGGCAGAGCCACTGTAACTTCAAAAAAATAGCTCCTCTTATCAGTCCACCACGTCATCTTACTTCTGCACATTCGGATCAGGCAGGTTCTCCCGATGAATGACCATGTGTGCATGGTAAGTTGCCTTCAAGGCAAAACGTCGATTACAAATGCTACAGCCATAGCCTTTCTCCTTGTGCACATCCATTATGTGCTTCAGGTACTCCTTCCCTCTGCCGAAAGTCAACTGTGGAATGAACCAATAGTGAATGAAAGGCAAAAAAAGTCTGCGGGAACAGCAACGATCTAGTAACACGTTATCAGGATCTAGAGTCAGAGCTAGTAGACATAAATATCCTGTGTATCACTAGATGAAAAAATCTGTGAGAGCTAGATTTAGGCCTGGACCTCTTTGGCCATTACAAGCACGCTGCTACAGGACATCAGTTAACTAATGTGGAAAACTACCTTGAGATGGTATCTCTGCTTCTTACACTGCACAACTAGAGGACCTCCAATCATTTGTGTTCTGAGGAACAGCCTTGAAGAGAACCATGTCTAACCACTACCTGTCAAAGCAAGGATGCCACAGGTGGAGAAAACGTCTTCTGGGCTCCAGGGGCACCGTAAGCTCTAGTCTGCATAGTAAGCTTTGGCAGTAGCTCCACAAGAGTTGGTATTTCTAGGCACTGCAGGGTGATTCTAGCTCAGCTCTTGGAGGCGCTGAAACTGTGACAGACAGCTGCTCCATGACTTTGCTCCCCGGGCTAGGTAACCCTGCATATGCATATATGCTCCAACGTATCAGGGCAAAGTGCCATAACGATGTGATCTTTTGCTCCAGTTTTGGAACCAGTCAAGGTATTTCTGACAACATTGGGCGGCTTGGTGAAGGTGTACTTCGGGTTGAGAAAAAAATAGAGAGATTCTTAACAGCTCAGAAGAGATATTTCACTAACTCATTTGTATGTTGTTCTCCCTTAGGAATGCATGAACCGAAAGAGCCAAAAAGAGCCTCCCCATCTCATCACAGGTAATACTCATTTTCCACACCTGTTCCCTTAAACAACTGTTTACTCACAAACACCTGTAAAAGTGCTAAAAAACCCAGCTTCCAAAAAGTTTTATAATTTGAATGGCACAATTGCCCTCATTTGGAAGCATACAGTTTTATACGGTTTATGTACCCATTAAGTGTCAGGTGTTACAATTACCACACTGAAACCAAGCACGTGATTTACTGCTGTGATACCACATCTTCTTATGCTTACTGACATAAGCTTAAGATCAGCTTGCACTTAAAACCAGTTTGCAGATAAGAACAAAAAACTGAAGTATTATTATCTCCATGTCTTCAAAATGAAGATAAGGTAAGCATTTTCACTATATTAAGTGTAGACTGTGAAGGAGGCTCTGATTTCCAGGGGCCAGGTCAGTGGCTTAACTACCAAAATTCCCCTGTCTCTATGTCAGTTTGGCCAGTTTTGCTGTTCTCACTGATTCCTTTTGCATCCCACCTGCCCCAGCTCAGTGTGCTTGCCCAGTAAGGGCACAGAATCCAGACAGACCTTAAGGACCCCATTCTCCCCCACTGCTTCTTCACAAAATGGTAAAAGCCATGCAGTAAGATGTTTAAAAAGTCTTCCCCTCTCAGCTGACAACTGAATAAAGGATGTTCCAGCAGTACTTCTAATGTCATTCTGTTAGTAATAGAGTAGGCCAAGAATAAGCATTCACACTGAATACAAGCAGCAGTCTTAATCCTCCAAACTGGATATCCACTATAGGACCATCTGATCTCACAGAAACTTATCAATCTGTGGACTGCATAATTCAGAAATGCTATAACGATTTTAATTTGCACATAATTAAAAGGTAGCATGAGATTTGAATGGGCCTTTATGATTTTTTCCTCCAGTTTTGCTTGATTGCTTCCTTGCACACAGGTAAGTGTATGCATATGTATTTCCCGTTTTAAGTGTTTAGCATTCACCTTACAGAACACCACTTGAAGTCTTCTAGAATAGCATCACTTCATAGATTAGAGGTAGTAAGCACTGCAGAAGGGAGCAGACCTGTGGACTGGCCTACTCTTTGTTAATGCTTAATATTATTTAAAAATCTGAATGATTTATAGACATTTCCACTCCTCCTCCCCATCCCAAAACAAGTTAATTTGAAAGTATTTAAAGCTACCTGGCACCTTTTGCAGCTATACTTGTGAGGCTCAGAATCTGCACTTTCATCAGAGTTGTCATCGTTTTCCTCCGATGAGATTCCAATTTTACCAATGAACTCTTCTCTCTGGTGATCATCCATTAGTGCTATGTCCTGTGTAGGGTGGGAAATAATATTGTTTTAATAGATTAAACTTCTATTTCAAAAGGTAACAGTCAGCTTTTGTTGCCATGCAGACTGCCTTGCATTAACAATTGCTACAATTGCTGTAACATTATTTATTTAAAATATCCTCCTGCTTCATTCAATTCAGCTAAACAAAGTTCCTTGGTCTATGACTAAACAAGGAACAACTGTTTATCCAAACAAATAATATTTTTTTTTTGTGTGTGTGTATAAAAGGAACTTTAATGTAAATAGAGACTCAACTGGTACACTATTACATCCATAAAAGCATCTTTATGAGCACCACTGAGTGATTCAGTTAAATTCCTTACAATTCAGTGTTGACTTAGTTGCACCAAAATAATCTGGGTCTGATTAATCACTATTAATAGGTTTTTTTTTTGTGATTTGGAATATTTTGATAAAACCAGGTAAGAAACTCAATACACAGGCAGTTATGCTGGCATATACAAAAGAATCACAGTCACTGGCACGGAAAAGGCAGGAACAATTAGTTCCCTTGTTTGTTTGGTTGGTTTTTTTTTTTTTTGTTTTTTTTTTTTTTTTTGTTTGTTTGTTTTTTTTTTCCCCCCACAAAGAGAGGGGATGACAGTAACCCCTCAGCCCAACCAAACTGCAACTGGAACAGTTTATCTGTCTGCAGCCTTCCTGTTAAACCATCCTCCATGCTTTAAACTGAGCAATCTCTGTGAGTCACCCAAGGTCACAGGGGTGGTTTTCCCATAGCGTTCAGAATAGTGTTCTGTAGTGGGAGCTGACATAACTTCAAATATGATAGTCCATATACTTTGTAGCAATCCAGATGTAGAAACAGAGCCATGGATAAATCAGAGCACAACTCTTGCTAGGCTACTGTAGAAACATCACTGCACAGCGTACATAATCACTGTTGTGTTGCCAGTATGAACACCTAGCTGTAACAGTCTCAATATATTTATTGCTACGTTTATGTGTCTGTTAATTTATTAGAAAAGGCATGTTACTTAACACAGTACCTTAAAATGGACATGAATATGATCTCTCAACACATCCACTCTGAAAAATTTTCGTCCACAGATTTCACAAGTGTATTTCTTGTCTCCGTGTGTTAAAAGGTGTTTATTCATATTGCTCCTACAAGAAAATACCTAAAAGAAAATAAGGAAGAAAGGGTTTTGTATCACATTCCTCAGGGCTACGGTTCTTTGCAGGTTATCCAATGGATAGCACAGAACATATTTACCGTCCTGTTTTATTCATTCTAGTCAGAAACATGTAGGAGCTCCTGTTATCCAGCCAGCAGGCTACCTGACACTGCTGGCACAGCAAAATACAGGTGTACAGTTCCAAGGAACTGACTGAAATTGGCCGTTCATCAGCAGCGGACTTCCAAAAGGCTGCAGCAGAATTACATAGGGTAGACTTAGAAATATTTAGACAGCGTCTTTTGAAACATGGATGCTCCACCTATCTATAGAAAGACACAACCACAGAATCCACTGTCGTTGATATGTAACTTATTCAAAACACCAAACCCAACTACATGCCAATATAAGAGTTGCTTGAGTACATCTTGCATCATGAATCATTAAACTTTTATACAATCAGTAGTTAAACCCTCAGTCTTTGTATCTGTGATAACACCAACTTAAGATCACAAGTGTTAAACACTCAAATGCAACAGTGCCATGGTTATACCATGAATTCACTTTGATTTCCAATAGAAAACGATTCCCAATGCACAGAGTCAACTCCAGCTGTTTACATTCCAGCAGAAAAACTTCACTCTAAATAATACAAGCCATGAGATTTCACTGACAGATACATTGGCCATGTTACATTGTGCTACATGTCCTGAAAAAAAGTCTAGTCTGAATTCCAGTTTTGTTCTTATCTTTGTCCTAACAGCTTCCACCGTCCATGGCCGCAGCGGGCCTGGATATATAATGGAGCTAAGCCAGTTTAGAGAGTGATGTCTTGGCTGGGTGACAGGGCTCGCTGGTAACTAACCACATGCCTGTCCGAGCTGCGAGATAATCTGACTTGGCATGTGTCTCAAGGAGAGTCATTTACCTCAACCTTTTGGCAGGCTGTGTGCCCACCGTACCCCTGGAGTATCCTTGGAGCTACAGTGCAGAGCTCCACGCGGCACACGCTGGGAAAGGCGCCTACCTTCCCACACACGGGGCATCCTGAAGGCTCCTTCTTGTAGCGAACCATGTTTTCCGTGCTGTGCTCAAACTCTTCTCTTTTCACACGCCTCACCCCTTAACAGAACAGTCCCCATCAAAAAAACAAAACAAAAAAAATAAACCATGGTTTTCCACTCCAATCTGCATGCCCTTTCAGGTGAATACTGTAAAGAAGAGTGAAACACTGGGAAGAGCCTTAATGCAGAATTTAATTGCTAACAAAAGGATAATTTCTAAATTAAAACAGTGTCTTAAGAATATAAAAGCAGTCTGCCAAAGTGATATATTATGGCTTACTGGTTATTACACAAATTGTAAAGTGTCTGAAAACAGACATTTATTGTCAACACCTGGAACAGGCAGATCTAGTAGGCCTTGGTGCTTTCATCAGATACCTCACCCAGAAATTCCCCCTTGCAGTCTCTAAGGAAAGAGACAACCACCCAGCATCACCTTTAATGCTCAGTGAGGATTTCAGACCTTCTCTGCTACTTTCAGAGAAGGGAAGAGGGCTGCTGCTGTTCTGTGGCAGTTAAACATGAGACACCTTGCCATTCAACCCCCTGTCCTCCAGCTGTCCTCCAGTTCATGACACAAAGGTCTGAATCACAAGAGCACCCAGTGATGGTCTGCTACGCCCAAAGCACCAAATTAGACAATCTGGCAGCTTTTTTAAAGCCAACTCTGGTTCTATCATCTAGATTGCTACAGGCATTTTAATACATATTTCAGCAATCTACCATCACCCAAGTTTTTCCAGAGTCTGAGTACCTGTAACATCATTAGACGTTTGAGATTTTGAACAGTAAATTCTCAGAATCTCATTTTCATATATTCTTAAGACTTTGAAAGATAACATCACACAGCATAACATTAATACTATATTTATACAGTAGTCACTTTCAGTTATACATTGCAAGTTAATTCTTCGCCTTCAAATTTTCAAGTTAACACACTTTAAAAAAAAAAAGAATAGAATTCAAATAAAGAAAAATATGTAATTAAAATCAGCTCGTTTAAACTGCTGCATAATAAGCCAAGCAACTTTCACATGACCATTAGTAGCACTGAATCCAATCATGTGAGCGTGAGAAAAAATGTAAGTGCATCTCCTAGAAAGTTTTCCATAGAATTAGATAACTCCCCTCCAGGATCCATTAATATTATTTTTAATAAATGTCACATTTTACTGAAACCTGCTACACCAGATCAGTTAACTGACAAAAAAAACCCAACCCAAACAAACAGTTACCATCCAGAAGAATCTAATGCACAATCATTTCCTCAACCTTCCCACCTCTACTGGCAATCCAAGAGTAATGATTAGGTTGATCTGCAGTATACTTACCTTCCAAGTGTCGTCTCTGATGGTCTAGCATGACATCCTTCCGGTAGAACATCTTATTGCAGATTTCACATGCAAACTTCTTATCCCCATGCTTTTTCTTGTGTTTTGAAAGATTACTGTTTGTAGAAAAGAATCTGAAACACATCTCACACTGGAATGTCTTGTCATCTGTAAGAAAAATGAAAAATGCAGCTCTTTACAGACAAAACCAGGTTTTTTCTGTTTGTGAGATAGGTAGTTCTTTTGTTAGATCTGAGTCTTAACATATAATCCATCTTTATATGGACTGAGAAGTGCAAAAGCATGTGTTTTACTTTAAAAAGTTTTTCAAAGGAAATAAATATATATGATGCTAACTTGAACATGGAATCTAGTGTTGTAGCTTCCTCACATGGGCTATTTCTGTTGTGGTCTAGCATACATTCAAATTATGTTTCAAGCGGATTCTGTTACAGCTGATTCAAGTTTTTAATGTTGCTAAAATCACTACACATACAGCAACACGGCATCACACAAACAGCTGTGTCTAAGCACAAGAATACTTCTGCCAGCACTAGCTCCTAATACCAGCCAGTATAGAATACTCCAAAGTAAAGTATAAAATCTCCGAAATATACCATTACATGACAGTAGACCTATGGGGAATTTGTTTTGTATCCAGGAGTTGAGACTTTTCTTGGAACATGAAAGCATAGTCCTGTAGATGGAATCTGCCAGTGCTGCAGCAATCACAAAGAAGTAACAGTTTGATACCTCGAAGAGTAGAGCAAAAACTGCTGCTCATTTTGATCAACTCAGAGAGAAAACGAGCTGCTGCCCTTGAATAAACAGAATACTGAGGTTACTTGACATTACTTTCTATTCTTCATAAGGCTGAATTTTTATAAAAGCTGTACCCTCTGAGGAGAAGTGAGAAAATCTACTCTGAATAGTGCTGTAAGGAATAACTACCCAGGTGATTCTGGACTGACAGTTATCATGGGTCTATAAAAGTAATCAGGATGTCATTTTCTAAGCCTAAAATCACTCAGCATAACTAGTATGAGTAACGAGAGATGGCTATGGGAGAAAAAGACAGGTTCTAGCGACAGTAAGAAAAAAACCCAAAACATCCAGAGAGACTACTGCAAGCACAAAGCAAGCATGAGAAAGCCAAATAAAACTGTAATCCCAGAAAACTACAAACGATCAATAGTACTGGCCCCCTTCCGAGTTTCTCTCTCTGTGGGAGAAAGGAGGTGAAACTTATTTTCAGGAAAGAAAAATCAAACAGAGATGGTGGCAGTGTATCTGTGAACATAGAAATTAAAACCAGTGAAGATACTAGGTGAGCAGAGGATACATGCCACACAGAAAAGCAAAAGCTCAGTTCTAATTGAAATTGGCCAGAGATATAAAAAACTACAAGAAAGAGTTCTTCAGGTATGTGAACAAGCAGAAACAGAAGGAAACTACTGGTCTGCTGTTAAGCAGTAGAGTTGAATTAGTCACCAACAATGCTGAAAAGGCAGAGGTTCTCAACACTTCCATCACCTCTGTCTTTACCAGCACTGTTGGGCCCCAGGCCTTGGGAACAAAAATCCAGGTTGATGCAAACACAGACACACCGTCAGTGAAGGAAGAGTTGGTGTGTGAACTGTTACAGGAGCTTGACCCCTACAAATTGATGGGCCTTGACATTGTCCACCTGAGGGCGTTAAGAGAGCTGGCTGATGTCGTTGCGAGGCTGTTCTCCACAATCCTCGAGAAATTGTGGAGATTGGGGGATGTTCCATAAGACTGGAAGAAGGCTAATGTCACCCCCATCTACAGGAAGGGCTTAAAGGAGGATCCAGAAAATTACAGGCCCTTCAGTCCCTGGGGAAGTTACAGAACAAATCCTCCTGGGGGCTGTCATAAGTTAGATGAATCACATGGTTTGGAAAAGCCAGCACAGATTCACCATGGGCAAATCACACTTAGCAAACCCAATTGCCTTCTACAACGAAGTAACCTGCTCAGTTGATATGAGGTGAGCAGTGGACATTGTCTACCTGGATTCTCCAAGGCTTTCGATGAGGTTCCCCACAGCCTCCTCCTAGAGGAACTGATGTGTTACGCTCTGGACAAGTGCTCTGTGCGGTGGGTGGGGAACGGGCTGACAAGATGCACTCAGAGGGTGGTGGGAAACAGCCCTTATTCAAACTGGCAACCTATGGGGTCCCCCAGGGATCAATACTGGGCCCAGCGCTGTTTAATATCTTCATAAGTGATCGGGATGATGGGACCAAGTGTACCCTGAAGTTTGCTGATACCACCAAACTGAGTGGGGAAGTGGATGCCTTGGAAGGGAGAGCAACCCTGCAGGAAGACCTAGATAGGCTGGAAGAGGGGGCTAACAACAACCTCATGAAGTGCAACAAGGACATGTGTAAGGTCTTGCATCTGGAAAAACATAATCTAGGAGTGCAGCACAGGCTGGGATCTGCCTGGGTGGGGAACAGCTCTGAAGAAAGGGACGTGGGGGTCCTGGTGGACAGCAAGCTCAGTATGAGTGAACAGTGAGCTGCGGCAGCAAGGAAAGCCAACAGGATGCTGGGTGGCATTAACAAGGGGCATCACCATCAGGGATAAGGAAGTCATTATCCCACTCTGCTCAGCGCTTGTCAGGACACGCCTGGAATACTGTGCTCAGCTTTGGTCCCCACTATACAAAAAAAGATGTGGAAAGGTTGGTGAGGGTCCAGAGGAGGGTCAAAAAGACAATCAAGGGACTGGAAAGCCTACCGTGTGAGGAAAGGCTGAGAGAAGTGGGTTTATTCAGCCTTGAGAAGAGAGGGCTTAGGGGAGACCTTATCACCATGTTCCGGTATTTAAAGGTGGCTACAAAGAAGAGGGGGATGCCCTTTTTACAAGGAGTCACATGGCAAAGACAAGGGGTAATGGGTACAAATTACTCCCAGGTAGATTCTGACTGGACACTAGGCAAAATTTTTCACAATGAGAACAATCAGCCATTGCAATAATCTCCCCAGGGAAGTGGTGGATTCCCCAGCACTGGACACTTCTAAGATTCAGCTGGACAGGCTGCAGGGCCTTCTTGTCTAGACTGTGCTTTTGCCAAGAAAGGTTGGATCAGACAATTCCTGAGGTCTCTTCCAACATGGTATTCTATGATTTAATGATGCTAAGTGGATGTGTTGCTCTACAGAATATTGGTTAGACTTTTCTTATAACAAAGAGATTTTTTGATGGAAGCAGGGCAGGTTGCTTGTTGTGGTGATGACATAAATCTGAATTCCTACTCCCCTTCTGTAGTTTCTATGCTGAAACAGATTTGTGGACATTCCCCCAAAATGAAGTAGTGATGCCAGAGGAAGTGGAACGGTTAGCCATTCTCACCTGTCCTGCAGTTATGGAATTCCAATGCACTCTCTATCCGAAAGGCCTTTTCACACGTGGTGCACTTGTATCTGTACTCACTGTCAACCTGAGAATTTCAAACAGTAAGTGTTTAAGGGGGGGAAAAGTCAAGTCATGTCTGACAGAGAAGTTCTAAATCCCAACTACTTTTTCTGTTTTCTGTCTTTTCCAATTCTTCTTCCTTCGGCAGGACATCTATATACACACTGATGCAAAATTCTGATGCTACATCATCCTGCCATGTTCCTACATCTGAGCTCTATGCAAAAAAAAGTAAACCATGCACCTGTGTGCATGCAAGTCTTCCTGATAACCTCTGGTCCAGCAGAGACAGAATTTTTGAGAAGTAAAATGTAATCTGACTCATTCTCCAACTCCAGAACATATGCCAGCCATCTGAGAGTTTAGGACCTTGATGCCAAGTAGCAATGGAAATATTCACTGATAAGGCCCAACTACAGGCATGTATAATATTTACATGGGAGCAGCACTGAAAGGCCCTCACCAACAGGTATGGTGCTGCTGCTGCAAGCACTGCAGTTTTACACACATGCAGGTAGCCCTTAAAGATGCAGCCTTTACCCACAGAGTTCACACATTAAATAGATGGGGATAAATGAAACAGGACAAGCAAACAGGACTGGAACAATTTTATTTAGTACGATAAACTGAAGTCAGATCTCACCTCTACATTGTGCAGGTCCAGCTAACTCTACCCTGTGTCTTGCTGTAATTGATGCCTGAAAACAACTTTCTATAGGAAATTCAGTCACAAAAAAGGACTTGTATGCTCAAAATCACGTCTACTCTTTGCAAATTCATCAACTGTTCTAATAGAAGATGTTATCTCTATCAGTATCATCTCACTTATTCACAAGAATACCCACTCAAATATAATTGACCCAAGCTCCCCAGATAGCACCTGGAAGCTCACTGTACCTTTTCACCTAACCTCAGAAAGAGCCCGCTAGTCATTTCCACTCACTTCGTTCCTGCTGTGCTTGTATGAAACATGCTGCTTCAAGCTCTCTTTACGGCTGAACAGCTTTGCGCATTCCTCACATTTAAATAGTTTGTCACCTGAGGGGATCAATCAAGATAAAATAAAAAAAAAAAGAAAGCAGTCAGAAACTGATAATAATCAACTCCAGGCAAGACAGGGGAAACCAAAGCACAAACAACTGTAAACAAACAGGCTAGTGATGAGAAGCCCTAGTAATTCAGGAGATCCAAACAGTGGATTTTAACCTTTTCCAACAACATTGACAACAATTTTTGTTTGCTTCTCCCACCCTTCTTCAGTGATTATTTTTTCACAGAATCCTTACAAGCAGGTGACCGACCCCTGGACTGCAAATCACAAGCTAAAAAGCACTCAGCTGACATTTACACAATTACAATGTTACCCCATGTGTTTGTGAAGGTGAGCGGCAACACATATGTATATATTTAGAAGGAAGAACAGTTTTGGAAAAAACATCACATTGTCACCTCCATTTAAAATATGTACCTAAATTCAAATTTTTAGTACTCTAATTTCAACTTTCAACTGTTATCTTCTCATGTTCTGGTCTGCAAAACTAAAAGAGTTCCCTAGAGAGAGTTTAAAAAAAAAAAAAAAAGAAAAAAATAATTCTATTAAAATTATGTATCCCAATATCTAAGAATAGCCTAGCTCTTTTACTCAAAGGTGGAACCACTGAGAGACAAAATCAACACGCAAGTGAGGCAAAATCAAACCCACCGTGGGAACGGATGTGCCTGCTGAGGTTGCTGCTGTTCTGGAATATCTTACTGCAGATACTGCATTGATAGACTCGCTTGTGCTCCCCAAGTTGTTTTATCAGCTTCCGCCGTATACCATGTCTACTGGAGAGAATTAAACTTCTTTTGAGGGACATGGTGTTTTGGTGATGAGCAAACCTACTGGATTAGAGAAAGAAAGGCAGGGACTGAAAGGTATCCCAGATTGCAAGAAAGAGTCCCACCAGCTGGCAAAAGCTAGAGGAGTGTTACGCTCAGCTTCTGGCAGGAGAGGGGGGCCTGTAGCTTCCTCATTGCCAAGGAGCCCTCCTGGCCCCCCCTGGAAGCAGCAGATGTCAGAGTGCAGCTCACTCCAATTTTCTTCACCCAGCACAAATGAGGAAAAAAGCAGCAGCCACCAGCCTCAGAGATTCTCTTTGCAGGCTCCTCAGAGAATCATAAAGGATCTGTTCCGCTTATCCTCTGAAAACATTAGCACTACTTCAGCTTAGAAAGCTTGGCAGTTCGCATGCAAAAGGCATACAGGGTAAGAGGGCAGCAGGGCACCAAGAAGCAGTACTGTCCTATTTCCCAGCACAACCACCCGCTGCAATGCATTTTTGATGGCTCTGTCTCTGCTAAGGACTTCAACATATAGCATTACTAGCTAATTTTGAAAAATCAAGTGCTTTATTTTACAAAAAATAATTCAAAAAGCCAATTTTACAGAGACAAAAAGACATAAAAGGATCTAAATTAATCAAATAATAGGAGTCTCCCTGAGGTTCTGTTATACTGAAGTTTTCCCCTCCCACTGCTCTAAATGTGAAGTATCACACACACAAATCAACATGAAGTTATTCATGAGTTAAGATGACAAGCAAGACTGAATAATAATAATAATGGTGAGCATAATTTTTTTTCAGCAAAACTCTCTTTGCCTGCTTAATGACCAACATTCAGCTGGAGTAATATTTCACCTTGCAGCTGCAGGAGGCTTTTGGAATCACACTGAATAAAAGCAGAAACGTGATGAAAAATGAAATCCCCATGGTTTATGCTCCAAAATTCTACCACCAATATCTCACCATCTGTGCACCATCCTCCAGCCATCTTTGTGGCACTCAAAGTCAGCTCTTGTAGCAGCAGCAGCATCACACAATTTTTATGCTAATAAAAAAAGAGCATCTGTGGGCCCAGAAGTTGAGCAGAGCTGTTACATGCTACATAATCTTAATTAAGCCTATCAGGAAATTCTGCATCCCAGAACACTTACTTTGTCACTGAACTGATGCTATTTGTGGTGCTAGGCATCTTTCCTAAAACCAATTCCATAATCCTCTCTTCTGCAGCTGAAGACAGGGCTACCTCTTCTGGTGGGACCTCAGTTACAACATCAGCTACACGTTCCACTGCAAATACATCATAAAAATACAGTGTTAATGTGTATAGCTAGAAATAAAACCTCGAATGCAGAATTTGTAACGAGATGTGGCACCGAACACATTATTTGTCCACAAAAATGTTATTTGTCAATGACAAATAATGGATTGCTAATGAGTAGGTAGTACTTGCAAAAGAGAGAAAGTGGCTACTGAATGACAAGCAAGATGTAGCCAACGTCTCTTACAGAGGCCTAATTTCTTACCTTTCCATCATATCACTAAGGGGTCAGTTTACTATACATCATGAAATTTCCTACTAGAACTTCCCTTAAAGGAGGGTAAAGCCCTGAAAAAGCTCCTTTCAAGAATAAACCTTAAGGTAGAGAGAGGAAGGTGTCTCCTCTTGAGAGTAAGGATGTTTTCTCTCCTGCTCCTTCTTGCAGAAAGATAGGTAGGTCTCTCATAACCACTATCCTGTGTTTCTCTGGGCCTCTCTATTACTAAAATCGTCACAGAAAAATGCAGGTAATTTAAGTACAGGTGCTGCAACAAGGCCCTCAGAGATAATTAACAAATTTTGTAAATCATCTGCTTTAGTAATCTAACTAAAAGCCTCCATCTTGTCTCTGAGCTACATTTTAGGCCTTTTTGAGAAGGCATCAATGCAGACATATGAGGGGATATGTGCTTAGCATTTTCTTAAGTTTTGTTTTACCTGCAGAATCCTTTTCTTCAACAATGACAAGAGGTGCTTCTGCTTTTGCTGTTCTGGGCTTTCTTCCCCGCCTGGCCTTTCTCCTTGAGTCTGTACCAGCACTGGCTGCATCACAAACCACTGGCTGATCCACAGGGGGAGGCTCTGCTGCTTTCTCTGCAACAGCCTCATTTTGGCTGGTTTGGGGGGCACCTTTAGCTTGTTCCAAGTGACTCAGCAAGTGCTCTGAATGTATGGGAAAGAACAAGAGAGTGAGGAGGAAAAAAAACAGTCATGAAACACTCAAAGGGATAGACTGAGCTGAAGCCTCTCTATTGGGTCAACCTCACTTAGCAGAGACTCCTTTCAAATTATTTCAAAAGCTATTTAACAAAGACAGGTATTTGTTACTGCTTTTGACAGACTCTCTTTTCAGTCCTACATTAACAATAGATATCGCTGGAAAAAGGTTGTGTCCCCTGATAATGGGCACATTTCTCCAAATACCCAAGTTATTTAGCAGCCTAGGTCCCCCTTTCAAAAGGGATTCATCAAATGGTCAGAGCTCTTAAATAGCTTAAGTTCTTTTGAAAACTGCATAAAATAGCTGCAAATGCAGAAAAAAAAAATGTATTTCATTACCATTACTAAATCTGTGTCACAAATACTAGACAGACAGTATCACTAAGGATAAGCTGGCATCACTGACCTTATGCAGTTCCCCATCTGTGATATTCCTAACATTCACATGTCACCTTGCAGACAAGAGTGTTATTCCTTCTAGATTCAACATCACAGTTGTTTGCCCAGAGATTGACCACTGCTGTATACAAAATATCACTGTTTTACCTTCCCTGCTACTCTTTCCTTAAAAGGAACACAAAAATGAAAACTTTTATCTTACTCTATCAGGGACAGGGTATGGCTTCACAGTGTCCTGCTCTGGAAGAGCAGAATTCTCCTGATGTTTCTCAGTACTCTCTCGTGAATTTCCAGCACTTCTTACCTGTCAGCAGCTGAGGCTCCTGGAAAGCAGATGAACACACTTTACACGTCCACTGGCTGGACTCTGCTTCTGCAGCTCCACTGCCTTCTGGAGTGTTCACTAAATCACAACAAGAAGAAATACTGAAAAACCTTGAAAATAGGAAGGTGGTAAATCCCTGTAGTTTTATCTTGCAATGACTCCCTGGGTATCACAAGTTACAATTCAGGCAGTAAGAGGCCCACAGGGGCAGCTGGTACCACTTCAGGATTTTCCAAACATGAATGCTTGAAACATCAGAACAGATGAGAAGTCAGAACAGAAACTAAATTATGCCAGGAGATAATATCAGTGCTCTTGTGAAGTCTTGAGGGTCCCTTTACCACTTTTTAAAAAACTGTGATTATCAAAGACACAATATAAAACAATTTTTAGCAACATTAAAACTGGGGTTACCAGTCCTCTTCAGGGTCAGCTGAGGACAGAAGCAGGAGAAGCCTTCTTGCGCTCTGTGAAGAGCGTTGCAGAGTAGGAACATTTGGATTAACAGAAGTAAGGGTGAGGACAATGAAAACCTGGTTTTGAGTGGTGTCATTAATTAGATGTTCTATGAAACCACCATATTCATGTTTTAATTAACATATCAGCTCATGCCAGATAAAGAACATAAAGAAGAAATTAGGGGGAAAATGGAACTGAAATAAAAAAAAAAAAAAAGAGGAAAGTGGTTACTCTGTTCACAGTCCACTGTCTTTAAGTCCTTGGATGATATGTCTGAATTTGTCAAGATACGTCTGATAAATCTGGACTGATTCAGAGATTTTTTTGGTATGCACAAAGCTGAATATTCCTCAGTCTACAAGACTCCCCCAGAGGCGGGGAGGATGACACTGAAATTAGGCCAAGTGAATGGCAGCACAGGAGGTTCAAAAACTGTATCTCAGTTTCTGCCACAGATTTCCTATATGATCATTAGCAAGACAGCTAACCCCTCTCTACCTGAGGAGCCCATCTGTAATGGGACGATAAACTTACTTCCTTCTTTTCACTATTGGCTCTTAAACCAAAAGAACCCAAGGACAAACAAAGGAGGTTGTTCCCTGATACAAATTATGTTCAATGTTCTGCATTACAGAGGTGTGATTTCACCCATGCTATAATAAATAAATAAAACATGACTAGACAATACAGCAACAGAGATTCTTTCTTCACAGGCCACATGAAGAACTTCTTGAGAGCTCTGTCCAGGAGGCCAAAACCAGCAAACTTAAACCCCGAGACTCTGCATAACTTTAAAAAAACCAAAAAGTCAGATTGGTAAGCAACATGTAAACTACTGTATGTGTCTCATGAAGTTGCAGGCTAGTAAAACTGAAAAAGCACTATCTGAAAAATTGAAGTCTGTCTTGGAAAATTATCCCTGACTCTGCAGTTCCCTTGCTCCTTAGCTGCCCCAAGCAGTAAACCTACAAACCCTAGTTGTACACTGGTTTGCCAGGAAGAGTCAGGTCCTGTTTAAGTTTCCTCTTCTTCAGGCTTCCAGGGTGGCTACAGGGCAAACCAGTTTACTTGGAAACACAGATCTGTCAGTTGGCAACTGTTTTGTAGACTTTAGGAAAATAGTCAGAAAGAGGAGAAGCATATTTTGTTTTGGAAACACCAAAACACTGTAGCAATGGGAACCCCATAGGGTTCCCAACCTATAATAGGCAGCATTTTGTCTCTATTGAAGTTGGACTTACAGACAGTAGGATGAAGGATGTAGGAGAAGCTGTTCAAATTCTTCATATTTTTTGCACCCTGCATCCTGCCCATCCCCCCCCCCCAAATCAAGGATGCCAAACTGAAAGACAACTCCCCAGACAACTTCACATTTTAGCTGTGACAGTATCCAAGTTAAATGAATCGATCTTCTGATGAACTGCCCTGTACACATCTGCAACAACTCTCCTCCTCTTCTCCAGGCTACTTCTAGTATCAGTAAGCAAAATTTAGCAAAGTAACCTTTCCAAAGAATAGACACAGAATGGTTTTCTTTTGATCCTGTTCTCCACACTACGTACTCTGAACTTACTTTTAGACATGGCAATTTGTGTTAAGTGGGTTCTTAATTTCATTGTTCCACTTATCAGAGATTACAGAGTAGGGGGGCATTGTTTCATAATTGACTAGTTATTTCCTGAGCCGTTATGTTCTTTGCCAAGAGGATGTGTATTGCATATAAGCTTATCTAAATTTGAGCTCCTGTATCTAGAACAGTCTGAACTCTAATAGGCTTCTGGTATTATTGTAATTTGGGGATGGGCAGTGTTCCTGTCATTTCCCAACAGAACTGTTCTTACATTCACTCACAGTCTCATGTTTTCTTCTAGAACCTGATCATTTGAATGATTACACTTTGCACAGAGAGTCTGAAGATTTTCTTTGCAATTGCCCCCATCCCAACACTAGCCACCTCCAAAGTCAGAAGCAGTTGTGGTTTTCACAAAAATCATCCACCTAAAGGTTTATTGGCCCTTCTGTCACCTTTTAACATGCATATGTACCTTAAGAACCATGCCCACAAAAATAAAAAGAAAAATCCAGACTTTCAAATCCTTTCTAAATTAGTATTTGCTGAAAGTTATATAATCATAATATCTGCATAAAGTGGTACACCTAACAGCTATTCAGATTTGTATCTGTCCTCTATCTCCCTTTAAAATACTGTAATTTTGCATACCTGCTGGATCAGCTGTTGGTATGCTGGATTTCTTCGTTTTTTTATGGGGTAAGACAGCAGATGATGGTTTTGAAGGGATTTTATTCCCCTCTTTATCAGATTCCATCACTACCAAGCACATATCTGTGAAGAGGAAAAACAGTTCCTTTACTTTCCAGACCCTTTGATTCTCTTGCTCTGTGCTGAGGGCAGTAACCCTAGTCAGAAAGCTTTGCCCTATAGCAGGCCTGCAAAAAACATTCTCAAGTAAAATCCTAACCAGGACATTCTTATGCCTGAATCTCATACAACGTGCCTTTCATATTCTAGAGTGTATAGTGAAAGTGCTGAACAGAGAAAACAGGATGTACCTAAACAATATTTTAAAATACCCATACGCACACAAAAATACACAAACAGGTTAAACTAAAGAGGAAAAAGATGAAACCTCTCAGTTAATACCAACTGGAAACATCTTAGAATTCAGAAACCTGTTAACCACATTGATTCAGCTGTATCACTGAAGACTGTGCTTACCATCAAAACCAGACATAAAGTACACTGATGGCAATGGCCTCTCCCCAAGCCATTCGTCACCCCAAACTATACTCAGCATAGCAGTAATACCACTCAGGGAGTACCCTCAACTCAAGTGCAGAAAGAAAATGCCCTTGCAACGCTAAAGGATCATGCCTTTTAGCTGTAGAAATGCAAAAGTAGAAGAAAAAGAAGGGGCAGTGGAACAAAAGACTTCTGGCAATTCTAATTCAGATTCTAAAAAGTCTGCTGCCTTTCTTTGGCAATGCACAAACAATCATGTGGAATGACAGTTCACTCCTGAGCTTATCTTAGTCTAGTGGGTCCCGTGTAAGGCTGCATATGATAAAAGTTGTTTTTTAGAACTGTGTAACAGTTCTGAGCAAAAACACTACAATGGAAAGAGAATGACTTCTTTAGCAAATCTGCATATATGTTTAGACTTACACCGACATTTGGGTTCCTTTGCTTTCTACCCACAAATGTTTTTGATGCAACTACCAGTTTTTAGTTAAGAACTATTTATTCAGTTTGTTCACCCTGAAGAGGCTGAATCATCAACTAGGCCATCCATTTTCAAAAACTCAGATATACCATGGTGAAAAATCTATGTTTTTCCTTGTAGGGCAACCACGGATGCATGTTAGCCTGACTCTAAAGGCTAACAAACTCAGTCAGAGTCTATGTGATAAACAGCACTGTCAACTACAACAGTAGGGGACTATCAATCCCTATCAGGACTGGGCCCTTAGGAAGGATAAAAGGCCCCCACACATACCATTGGCAATACTAGTGACCTGCTTCAGCATTGGCTTTTCCATTTTTTTGGCGTAAAAAGCTGCATACCACACTCGCAGCTCAGTTCCTGGTGGGATGTCCCTGGAGGTGGTGAAGTAAATATCATTGTCATGCTGGAAGGCAGTTAAGTTTTGATGCTCATATTCAGTAGCTGGTCGCACCATCATCATCCAGTTGCAATCATCTTCATTTGAGGTGTCAAAATATACCAGGGGCCCATCCTTCCGGAACACCTGCCAAGCAAAGTATGCATATAATAAAACCCTAACAAATGACAGAAAGTTAAGAAGAATTTTTATTTTTTTGCTTTTGCAACGGCTTCCATTCATCGTACATCAAAGACAAAGCAAGCCTCAACACTTCCATCCGGCATGGCATGATTCATGTATCAGTCACATCCTTCAGATAAGTAAGTCTGAGAGACTACCAAGCGCAGGACGGGAACAAACTGAACTTCTATCTCAAGAATTCCTGCTATAGTCACCAGTTTCTCACAAAATTTGAACAACTGAATACAGGAGAATGGAGGGGAATCCAAACAGCATGCTGTGAAACACCCATCCGCCCAAGTCACATTTCTAAATCATTTCCTTCTGAGTTAGGTATGACTGAAAACTAAGACTAAATTCAATTTTTACAGTAGCATTTTTCCTACCAAAACCTGTCAAGAATAAAACAAATGCAAGACAGAAAAAAAATATTTATTCTGCATGTTCCATAAACCTAATGCGTATTTTGCTCATTAAGCAAACACAATCAAATTAAAGAGACTCATTAAAACAACTGAAATGAACTGCCACAATCATTGTCCGTCTTGTATCATCACATGCAGAAGGTGAAAGACAAGCAGTTTTGCTGACTGTATCCCAGCTCTATCTCCTATAGGGATGTTCACTTCAAACATGCAGAATGAGCCTCTAGTTAGATTCTTCTGTAGCTTGCCCAGAGAATGTTTGTTTAGCTAGTCTGTTATAGGGCATGACTAAAAGATGTCCAAAATAACACCCCTACACACATTTTTTTTTTCCATAACATCCGATAGCATACATTTATCATGGGTAAAATGTTATTGCTTTTCATGTGCCTTGTCTTACCTTCAGGGGAAAAATGGATTCTTTTTCCAGCTTGGCAACTCTCTTGGATTCAAATGGGCCAAACTGGGTACGTTTCACTAGCTGAGTCAGAGCAAACACTCCTTCAGTCCCATCTTCCAATTGTCTTATCTCCAAATTAGAAGGCAGAGATGATCTAAAAATTTAATTGATAAAAACCCCCATAGTTACACATGGGACAACACTGCAGAAACCCATGGAAGAAAGAAGTCAGCATCTATTTCTCCAATCTCCAGTGACAGCAAAGCTTTCTGATCAAAATACCCTAACTTCTATGAGGATTTAAAAATAGAGAACAACTACCAGCAGTGACAGAGGGCCAAATCAGTGGTTACTTGAAAAAGCTCAACCCATGTAAGTCCAGGGACCTGACAGGCTGCACCTCAGGGTGCTGACAGAGCAGTCCAATACTATAGTGAGACTACTCTCTATCATCTTGGAAGGATCATGGGCATCAGGGGAGGTCCCTGATGACTGAAGAAAGACAGATGTTGTACGCATCTTCAAAAAAAGGCCAAAAGGATGATCCAAGGAACTACAGGTTGGTTGGCCTTACTTCAGTCCCTGGGAAAATCATGGAACAGGACCTTTTGGGAGGCATTTAAGGGCACATGAGAAGGTGACTGGAAACAGTCACCACGGACTGATTAAGGGCAACTCATGCCTGACAAACTCTTTGCCTTCCAGGATAAAATTACCAGGTTTGTATGTCATTTCCCTTGACCTTAGTAAGGCTCAACACTATCTCTGTATCCAAGTTGGGATGTTATGGTCTGAACGGATACACAACTAACTAGAGTAAATAACTTGTTAGGTGGTCAGGCTTAGAGGGTCATGATCAACCATTCTTTACACCTGGAGGCCACAACAGCTGGGGTACCACAGAGGTCTGTGCTGGGACCTGCACTATTTAACATCTTTATCAATGACCTAGAAGGGGCAATAGAGTGCACTCTCATTCCACTTGCAGATCACACTAACTGGGGGACATAGTCCATGTGTCTGAGAAGGCAGGATTGCTATCCAGAGGGATCTAGATATCTCAGAGAGATACACCAACAGGAATGACATGAAATTCCAAGGAAAAATGCAAAGTCCTGCATCTGGGAAGAAAGAACCCTAGTCAGTACCATCACTGGGGAGAAAGACCCTGAGGCTGGCATTGGGCAGCAAACTGGACATAAGGCCATAGCACATCCCAGCAGCAAAGGGGGCCAAACATACCCTGGATGATATGAACAGGAGCAGCCAAGTGATTGAGGCAGGTGATCATCCCCCTCTGCTCTGCACTTGCTAGGATCCTATCTATCTGTTGCCTCCTGTTTTGGGCTCCCAGTATGGCAAAGACACTGACAAACTGGAGTGAGCTCAGGGGAGGACCACCAGGATGGTCAGGGCCTTGAGCAGTCACCCTGTGAGGAGAGGCTGGGGGAGCAGAACTTAGTCCCAAAGAGCCACCCGTGAACACCCACCTAGAGGGACTTCATCGGCACGGAGGAGTCTGGCTCCTCCTGTGGGCTCATGGTAAGAGCAGAAGAGACAATAAGCATAAAAATGAAAAATAAGTGGTTCAGCCTGGATGTTAGTTCTCACTGGAATATCCTGAGACCTCTTCCAAAATTAATTATCCTATGACCCTACAGATCTTTGATTATGATCCTGCTTACTTTAAAAAATAACCTAGAACCCTCACCAAATTAACACTTTATATTCTTATGCAGATCATAGCCCTTAAGATGAAAACCCTGGAAGTTTCCCTTCTGTCTTCTACCTTCCTTATTAAAACACTGATACAGTGATCACAAGTGCTTCTGTGCTCCCAGCCGCCCTCATTTACTAAACAAGCTTCTGCGAAAAACTTTGTGTCGTAAATATAGTTATTACATATAATACACAGAAATCGTCTTCCAAAAAAATATTGGAACCACCACATTGGTTTTATGGACACCAAATGCAGCCCTGCCTTTTCACATCTATGCTAACGGATGAAAAGCTAAAAATAATCAGACAGACTACTGACTACTCTATAAAAGCTGACACTAGCAGATCCGCTTTCCTGTCTAGATGAAGAGAAATACAAAAAGACTGCAGTCATAGTGATAAGCAAATTAATTAAAGAAATGCTTTCAATTTTAACAACAGAATATGAAATGTTAGAGAAAGTGAAGTTCAGGAGATGTTTCTTAACACTGTGTTTCTAACCATAAAGCTTTATCTTTTCAGTAGGACAGAGGAAACAACGATCATGTGGTTAAGCAACTAGACTGTTTTTTAAGAGATTCATATCCAGTTTGTGGTTTAACTTGCCCTCAACCTCAGATAACTCACTCTCTCAGCTACTGTTCCCCAGATGTAAAATAAAGGCTGCAATGACATTTCTTCTTTCCTTTACCTTACCTGTTTTCTGCTGTAAATTTTTCAAGAAAATAAATACATTTTTCTGTAACATGGCCATTTTTAAACTCTGCTTTCAAATCCACTATCCAGCAGCCCACACTTTCACTAGGGAAAACTTAGAATCTGTATGTCAAAAAAAGGCTGAAAACCAGTGTATGCACCATATTTGCAAATATTCACAGTTGGAGCATCTGGATCTATGGTAATTCTTCACCGTATTAATAAATAAGAGAGTTAAATTGCAAGGCAAAAAAAAAGAAAGCAAAAAAAGATAAGAAATAATAGCTTAACTTGTAATTGAATCTGCTTAGTACAGGCTAGCGACTTATTGCACTGCCTGGTTTCCATGTACAAGAAAAGCACCTCCATCACCATTTTCTATTATTCCTATGGGCATTTTGAAATTACCCTCAAGAATAAAGCACTTCCAGTGTCAGGGCTGTTAGTACAGTAGACTCCATTAACACTTGGTGTAGGGGATCATCCATGGCAGGTTTCCAGGCACAGGAAGGTGGCACCTGGCAGGAGCTGCAGGGAGCTTCCTTTTCTGGGAAGGCCCAGAAAATCGGCTCTGCCTTCTGCACACATGCCACCAGTATACATTGTGGGACACCAAGAGCGTCCTGCCCAGGCAAAGAGGGGTCATGTCACCTGCACGACAGACCCAGCACATTCAGTATGTGTTACAAGTGGTCCTGGGAATGCACTGGACGGCCTACACAGCCAGCATGCATCTGACTCGCTGACCACGTGCCCATGTTTTCTGTCCATGACTTCCCAAGAAGAAACAGGGAAGCCCTAAGCACTTATTTAATACATTAAGCCATTTGAACTCTCTTCCCCTTTTGGATTTGTACTGCATCTTCACAATAGTTGTTTCTTTCCCCTACCCTTCCATTTTACACCTTAATGTGAATCTTACTGACAAAGCCTGATTGCATTTCTCCGTAAAAATCACTACTCAGTGTTGTCTTTTCGTAACGAGATTTATTCTGTTTCTTTTGGCAAGAACAAATGTTTCTGCTGTGCTGTCACAGGTTATCTGACAGATGCATTACCTCTAATCCTATGTAAAGACTCCCAATAATGAGAACAACTTGTTTTGTTTCTCAGTGGAGGAACTACAGAAGTTATACCAAGCAGAAGGACACAACCATTCATACAAATGAGAAATCCTCACATGTTTCTCTGAAACTAATATGGTATATCTGAGGAGGGGGAAAATTTGCAGGTACTCGACCAAGACAGCAGTCATCACCCCATCTGGCACTATCCGACTTTTTGCCAGAAACCTCAGCGAAAAAGCCAAGTCCTGATGAGCAGCTAGTTATTTTTTGGCTTCAATTCAGTAGAGCACTTCAGCGCGTGCATCAGTTTTTCTATTTAATCAAGGCCATGCGCCTTCCATAGACTGGGACTTCACCTCTTAGCTGTCAGCATGACACCCATTAAACAGCAAATATGCTTTAAAGAACTAACATGAGTGTTGGATTACTCAGAACTAATACAAACATTCCTTACCTTGCTCTGCTCAATACAAAAGAGTCTTTGACTGTCACCACTGGGCCTAGTTCAGGACACTCTGAATCGTGGTACTGCCTACAGTCCTCGCACCCTGCAAGGAAGCAGACAGCATACAGAAAGGTTGATGGAAACACTTTTCTAAGTCAGCTGCCTCCTTCTTTCAAGGGCTAAATACAAAACCTAGCACCAGACAAAATACACATATAGAGGCAGGTGTTTATTTATGTTGCTTAAAATAACATATATAATTGAACATCAAGTTGATAGCTGGTACTTGTGTAGGTGAGATAACACACACCATGATCAATCAGAGGCCAACTGTTTAAATGCTCTCTCAAAGGAAAATAATTGCCATACATCTGCAGTAATTATTCTGCTTACAGATGGCATTATTCTTCAGATAGTGACATAACACCTAGCAGTTACAGAAAACTGCATTACTACCTTCACCAGAGCTCTGGCTTTTAGAAACAGCTTGGGTAGCATGTTTTTTTTAGTGACAGGAGGCATAAACCCAGTACCAGCAGCAGCAGAGCTGACACAGGGCCTCAGTGGGGCACGAGCATGCTGTGGGAGCCCAGCTCTGCCTGGAGCCATGCCTGGCCCACTCACGCTGCTCACCCACGGCGCAGGGAGAGATACCTCCAAGATACTTTCTGGCGCCTTTCCAAGCAAGTCAGCCGGCTGCGCAATACACTTTGGCCACTTCTTCATTCACTGTCAGCTTACCTAAATTAACTTCCAGTTTAAGTGGCTGTAAATTACCCAGGACTGAATGGTTCCTAAGAAACAATTTTCAGACCACGATAATTTGAGGCTTTCTAAAATAAGCCAACTTAACAGGATTTCGAATGCATACACATTGCTTTACAGTGAAAAATAGCTGTCAAACTGTCCTGCCTGGTCAGCTGCTGATGCAGCTTAAGAAGTGATCATCACACAGGGGTTATATTCCTATAGTACAATTTCCATCTGAGCTCCATGCTCACAAGGGCAAGTCAGGTAATCCCAGTAAGGATGCAAAGCAGAGGGTGATTGCACCTTGTTTGGTAGAAGAACAAGACAAAAGCCATGTCATTTCAGGGTATATCTCCTCTGGTAAAGTTACTCTGTACTCCTAACTGGAAACCTCTCCCTCCCAGTACTTTTCCCAGTGAACTAACAAAAGGATTTCTTTTAAGACGTGGAAAAGGGATCCCAAACTACAATGCACATCTCCACACTGTTTTTTCTTCTGGCAACAAAAACAACTTAGCAGTGAAAAATCCACATACATTTGACAAACAGCAGTACCAGCTCGTGCAACCCCCAAGCCTGCCCGCTGCTTCCTGTACAGCTGTTTGTGCCGCCTTCTGGTGAACCAAGGAAGGAAACAACCAGCTTTTCCCATCAGTTTATGTTTCAGCTGAATTAATTGCCCAGTCTGGTTTGCTGTACAGCACCAGAGAGCTGTATCAGAGGAAAGGACCTGTGGGCAAGTGCTATCTACATACCACCAGCATCAAAACTAAGCCTACACCCGAATGGCCTTCCCCATCCTGCTCTGTTCGCTCTATCACACCCCACATCCCCCTTATTGTGCCTGTAACTCACACTGCACTTAACATTATTGAAATAATCTGAGCTAAATACAAATTTGCAAAACCAGAGAGGGCGGAGGAGCCACAGAGGAATGTATAAACTAGACGGCTGTAAAAAAATGGATTATCATCCACAAAGGGTTGTTGTAACCAATGGGGACAGGAAGGTATAGCCAGAAAGACAGCTTCTTAAATGGACTTTGCTGCCAAAGGTAATGAAGCACTTCGTTGTTCCTCTAATCTTTTGACTGCACCTAGACGCTCCTCACTTCTGCAAAGATAGCCACAGCACAGGTTCAAATCAAGGTGCAAACAGCACTATCCAAAACTACATGCAGGAATAAGCTACATATTTCTCTTATTCTCATTCTCCTTTGTGGATGAATGATTAAAGCATGGGGAATATGATACTGACATTGTGTAGCATGTCTCAAAATCTAAGGGATGCCTTACAGCAGACATTTCCCAAGGCTGTTACACTCACCATATGTGACATTTTCAAGAGATTACAGCCATAGGAGAAATACAAAACTAAGCATGGGATAAATTGTAAAATACCCTGGGGGGGAAGTATATTCACAGACTTCTACAAAAAATATTCCAAAACTCTCTTATGTCCACGAAATGCGTATTCAATGATGTTAACTATGGGAGTGCACAGTATCATTTATAACAACTCATTTTTTCAGAACATAAGCAGTCCCCATTTCCCATGGGAAAAACTTACAGAGAGCACAAGAAAGCTCAAGAAATTCAACGACCACTGCCTCCACTGGAAGGGGGAAAATTGTGTTGTGTGGCACCTTCTATCTGTGCAATTAGGGAATGGTACCACATCCCCATCCTTGTTGCTATCCACCAGGGTCATTTTATGAAGGGGAAGATAAGGTAACTTCATTACTGGTATCTGCAACTCAATAAAAATGCGTACTGAGTCAACACTACTTGTGAAGGAACCTTGGTGAATCTGTGGTGGAGGGAAAAGTGGAACTTTCTGATATAGTTGCCATAAGGTTCATGTGCAGCTGTGGAGCCATCAGGGCTAAAAGGCTGTGGATCCATACCACCAAAGACATACGTTCCATTCTGCTCTTTACAGATCAGCCTGACAACATCTGGGCCCTCTCTGCTCATACAAGTAGAGAACTGGACTCTACATCTCTTAACTTCTTTCCAATGTAACACCAGATCCTGAATGTCTAGGCTTGTGATGAAGGAGAGGCGGCAGGGCTAGTATGCCACTGGGAAACAAGCCTACTAGCCAGGCTCCATCGAGCATGGGACACTGCCCACCATACTCCCTAAGCACACCACCGTTGCAGCCTCTCTTCACGTGCCGTGACCCCATGAGTCCAGATCCCAGGTCACGGAGCCCAGTCTGGCACACAGCGTTACATAGGAGGAAGACCACCAAGCCGAGCTGCATGAAGCACAGGCCTGGACACAGGGGCACAAGAAAATGCAGTGAATGCTGTGAGTGAGGCTTGTCAGGGCAGCCGGTGCATCGCAAACTGGGCTTGTCCAGAAAGAATAATGAGCCTGCATCCTCCTCCTGCAGATCTGCAACTCAGGCGGGAGGTCAGTTCCACACAGACACCCCTGGTTGCCAAAGCTGGCTATATAAACAAAGGTCTCAGACTAGTGTTAGGCCTTTGATCCCACTTACTTCAACCATGGAAAAGCTGTTCTGCTAACTCACATTCAGAGGTTTCTTGGTGTGTTTGCCAACAAAACCAGAAGAATGTGTATGCTTAAAATGAGCAACCTTCTCTCTACTCCTCCATAAACTGTCTGAGCTTCCTTTTACATAAATATATTTCTAAATAAAAACTTTGTCTGTTTTAGTCTTTAAATTCAAACATTCTAAGTAGATAAGTCACATCATGAGAATTAGATCGTTTTTCTTTCTAATACTTACAAATAAACATAATCTCATCATTGCCATCTTCAGCCATTTTTTAAACCTGCCAAAATACAAAAGATGGAGTTAGTTCTGAATGACTTTTACTTTCCACATTATTGAAACATCCGTTTACTGAGTAATAATGCTGACTGACCCAGAGCACACCCAAACATGTTACTGTCCCTGCAGGAGTATCAGTGGGAAGTTAAAGAAATTAAAGTTGCTAAAAATCCCCCAGTGACTGCTGTATCATTACACCTGTTGCTGCAATCACTACCAAGAAGCCTAAACGTCTGTAGGTTCACAGACATTTCTCTCCGAGACAATGCTAGCTGATGCAGTTCCCCATCCCTCCAGCCATTCCTGCCTGTCCCCTGCTACAAGCAAAATGTGGAACCCCAGAACAAGCAGGGCCAAGGGACTAATCCAGGCTAGCAACAACCACTGCAGAAACAAGGCCCATCTTGTTCAGTGCAACATTTTATCGAACAGTAGGTTAAAAAATTATCTGTGAAGCATGGATTATTTATTTAATAAACAAAATACTCTTAATAACCTAAAAATTGCAGATACATTTACAGGTTTGTTCCAAAGGCAAAGGTATACTGTGGTAACGAGCACCAGAAAACCTGGGAAAACAAATCCAGTCTCTGACACTGACCTTCCATGAAATGGTAACTCACCAATTTGCTTTCACACGTAAAATAAGGATAACCTATATTTGCTTTTATAAATCAGTTTTGGCAGTATGTATTAAAAACTTGCATAAACACTATCTATTGCTCCTCAACAATGTCTGGACAATCTAATTTATAAGAGAGAATGAGGCTGCAGAAACAGCAAGCACATGGCAAGAAGAGAACAGGAAGGAGTAAGAGATTGAACCTGTGAGAGGGAGGAGGACAGGAAGAGAGGAAACATGACCAAAGACATACCAAACTAGCAGAGCCCTGTTTGAAAAAATATAAAGCATTTGCTAGTACAACAACAAAAGTCAAGCCAAAGATACATACAAGCACAGCCACTGCTCAGGATCAGCGTAGAAGCAGGACTCCTGGTTAGGAGTTTACTTTTGAACACTGATGCTTCGTGTGCTCTGCCTGGCTGGGCCCTGGAAATATACCTCAGGCTGGAGCCTGAAGCAGCAGCTACTTTGGTGCAGGAACTGGCTATACTGGCTTCTCAGCACAAGTGAAGGCCCTGTCCCACACAACCCCTTTCACTGCTTCAGGACGGGCTCCACACTTGCGCCAAGCTCGCTCCTAACATCACGACAGCGCCTGCACACGTCAGGGAGTAATGTCTGACACGCAGCTGCCAGCTGCACCCATGCTCCCCTCCACCTCAAGCCTCCACGAGAAGCAGCCACCAAGTTTCTTCACTAAGCTGTAGGCTACTCTCAATTAGCAAGGGACAATCCATTGCCACTTGGAGATGTGCTGGGTGGAAAGCCAGCATGTCAACTGATGGGAATACAAAGGGACACCTGGTCCCTGTGGCCCTTGGTCATGGCAGGAGGGATCCTGCTGCTCAGTTACCTGGGCAAAACAGTCCAAGGAGGAGTTTGGTCACCAAGTCTGGAGGCTGGGCACCCTGGTATTCCCCTTGGCCCGTCCCAAGCACTGCCCTCCAATGCTTTGTGGATGCTCTGCACTATTTCAAGAGGTGTACGTCCAGTTATTTTTAGACAGTTTGTGTCCTGACAAGACTTTAATTCTAAACATGAGTGAATTAACAAATACTGTTCTCAGTCAATGGTTCAGATATGCAGGGGAAACAGTGCAGCAAGACCAGCAATACCCCTGTGTGACCTGCTTGACAAAGGCATTCTCCTTTTAGGACCTTCCTGTGCAGCATTCTTCACAAACAGCAGACTGATGACATGGGCCACTACAGAAGCAGCATCAGTCTTGTCCTAGGGGCTGTCAGATGAGAATAGCAACAAAGAGGAGGAGAAATCAGAGTAGTATAGCCCGTACAAATGTTTCTCATCAAGTACAGTGACCACTAATTACTGGCTCTATTGTGTAAGGCTGATATGATACAGGCCTTCATAACTACTATGCTACTGAAGTGGAGATTAGAGACTGATAAGAGGTAAACATTCAGCCCCAGAAGGCACCAGAGGCTGGATGATTGCCCAAGAAGCATGAAGTCAGGAGAAAAAAAAAAAAAAAAAAAAAAAATCTGTAATAACTAGGGGAATTTGCCCCCCACCCCTGTGAGGAGCATGCGTGCTAATTTACACAGCAAGTGAGGCTAATTCAAATATAACTAGCCAATAGCAGATGGAATAGTAATTACGGACCAGTGAGTATAAACTTAGGTTTTTACTAATCATGTAACAAGATAAATAGACTGCAGTTTCTTTGTGTAGTGGGCTAGCTTTGTGGAGTTATCTCCTTGCACTCATCTTTGCGCAACTATGGAATAAACTGATATCCTGGCGCTGTGTGCAAGATCAGCTTTTGCAAACCAGGTAACTAACCCTGTTTGAGGGACAAGAGTAGCATACATGTTCTTCAAGGTGACGGGGAGAAAGCATAAAGGTCCCTCTAACATACCTCACATAGTTGATAAGGGCACTACATCCTGGTTATTATCTGCATTAGCGCAATTTTCATTTTTGCAGCAAGCACTTTCATTTTCCACATCGCAAAATTTCTGATTCATCATCCATCTTTCTTATGGTCAGCACAATAACCTGCTATGCTCTGAAATAAATGGGAACGGGTAACATATTGTGTAACAAATAAACTCAAACCTCAACATGCAGGTGCAAAAAGAGGACTACCTTGCATTAATATCTGCACCTTGTTACAACTTCCTGAGTGGTCTTTTTTTTCCCCCCCTTCCTACTTTATAGAAAGTGTAAGAAAGGAAGAACTGCTCCAAAATTGTTTAAAAATTCTGCTTTGCAGACACATACTAGTTCTTACCCATAGGCTTCAAAAACTCCTCACAAATCTCAACTGTATTTCCCAAGAGTTTCTGAAATAAATTATATTATGCCACCTGCTCCAGCTGGTAAACAGTCACAAAATGCCACACCAGCTCACATGATGGCACTGAAGACAGACTTCAGAAGTGTTTACCCTCATTTGCTGTTGCTCTGGGCCGTGTCTGATTTTTTTTCTTCCCTTCTTAAGCATTTGTATCAGAATTACATTAAGTCACTCATCCTACTGCATGTAATCACGTTCTTATCTTGCAGAGATAATAAAAGTTTGTGGGAATTCCAGATATTTTTGTATAAACCAGAGAGCAATCATTAAGCAGCAAACAATTAGGTGAAAATCTACACAGAAGTAGTAAGACCACAGGTACGAGGCCTAATTCTGACCGCAGTAAAAGAGCAGAAAACCAGAATTTTCTGCTTGTCTGAGTGACTTTGCGCCCGAGAGTAGAGCACACAGCTAAGCATGCAAGCTCCAGCTGCAACATGGGCCCCTGAACACTTCTGAAACTCAAGGGAACCCCAGCCCAGACACTGAGGGGCTGCAGTGTCAGGGGTATGTGCTTGTGGAGCACAATGTGCAGTGTTAGTGCCAGGGGACCACTCGAGCCACAAGCTATGTAAGACCTGGTGTAAAAGCATATTTGCCTCTTATAAGCTGCTTTCTAAGAAAGAAATCAGGCTCCTGTGGCAAGATTAGTAATTTTGATCTTGCAAAGAGATTTAAAAGAACAGGTAAGAAGAATTTAAAAATAAACCAAATCCCTAAAAATCTGTATTTGAATGTAATGACCAGCAAAGTAAAACTAAAGCTTCCCTTTCCTCGGTTTTCCTTTAAAGTTCTAGAATGGGCTTCTACTAGCGTAAGTAACTTGAAAACACAAGCGGATGGGTACTGGAAATACAGGTGTGCAAGCAGAACGCACTTAAAAATACACCTTGTTTCCTTCATGATGCAGTCTGATTTTTCATGCTACTGCTTGCAGTAATCGGACGCTATCTGGCAGGATATCTGGCAAACTACAGCGAGGCCTTGAATTCCTAAAAAATTAACGATCGTTCTACCTGTTATTGCTGGGGGTGGGGGGAGTGCAGTGACAGAGCGGGTGTCCGGTTGAGGCCGCCCGCTTTTCCCAACATTTCCCGTGACGGCGCCCACGGGGAGCAACGCGTGTGCAGGGCTCGGCGGCTGCGAGCAGCAAAGGAGCGCACCGCGGAGTGGGGCTTCCTTCCTTTTGTCCGACCTGCCCCCCTCTCCGGATCCCGCCTCGCACCCGGGACGCTGCGCCCCCCCCCCCCACCCCGGACCCCTCGCCCCGGCTGCCGGCGGGGAAACGCCGCCGCCACCAACCCCGATTCCCTCACAGGGGCCGCGACCCCCCCGCCCCCGCCCCAAAGCCCCGCCTGTGGCGACAACACCCCCTCACACCCCCCCACCCCCCCACCCCCCCTTCGCCGGCGTTACACAGCCCCAGCGGCGCCGCCCGCGCCCCAGCCCGCCCGGCACACACCGCCCCGGCGGCGGGGCCGGAGCCTCCCCACGCCGCGGGGTGCGTGAGCGTGTGCGACAGGGTGGGAGGAGGAGGAAAAGGAGGAGGAGGCCGCGGCGCGGCCCCACGCCCGCCGCGGGCAGGGCCGGGCCGGGCCGGGCGCTGAGTGCCGGGACCGCGCCACAACCGCCAGGAGCCCGGCGGGGCCCCGGCCCGGGATCCGGGAGCGGCTCCGCCGGGTTTTGCCTCGGACCCGCCTCGCCCCCCTCCCTCCTGCCCTCCCTCCGCGAGCCGCGGCGCGGCCGCTGTAACAAAGAACAGGCGGCATGGAGGCGGCGGCGGCGGAGGAGGAGGAGGCGGAGAAGGCGGCGGGGCCGCCGCCCCGGGAGCCCTCGCCACCGCCTCCGCCTCGGCCCGGCGCGCCCTGGAGGAGCGGCGGGGCGGCGAGAGGAGGCGCGGCGGGCCGGGCTGCGGCGGGGCGGGCGTCCCGCGTGGAGGATCCCGCGCGCGGGCCGGGGAGGGGGTGGTGGTAGGGTTTGGGGGAGGCGGAGTGTGGGGGGGGAATAGATGTCGGGCGGGAGCGCGGGGAACCGGCGTTTACCTGCCTGGGGAATGGCCAGACCCGGATCGGATCCGGACTCCGGGTTCCGATCCGCTCCGGAAACCACGCGCCACCGGAAGCCGGCGCGACCGGCCGCAAAGCGCGGCGGGAAATGTAGTCCGCCGACGGCGGGGGAGGGGAAGGGGGGGGTGGCCGGCCCGCGCCGTTACCTGGGGGCGGCGGCGCCGTCCCTCTCCCGGTGCCCTCATAGCGCTGGGTCGCCCCTGTCAGGGCAGCGCCGCGTCGCGGGGGTGAGAAACACCTGTGGGAGGGGCGGCCGCCCCCCCCCCCCGTCCTGCGCGGCGCCTCGGCCCTGCGCTGGGCGGGAGGAGGAGGAGGAGAGGAGCGGCTGCCATTGAGGCTGGGTTTTCCCCTTCTCCTCGCGGGGGACAGTGCCAGCGGCGAGGTCCCACGGGCGGTCTGCCCGAGGGCGCTCGGGGTGCGTGGAAGCGCTGCGGCGGGCACATAGCAGGCTGTGGGCCCTGGGATTTCTTTTCACACGATTCTTTCCTGTGAGGGCGGTGAGGCACTGGCACAGGTTTCCCAGAGAAGCTGTGGCTGCCCCCTCCCTGGAAGGGTTCAAGGCCAGGTTGGACGGGGCTTTGAGCAACCTGGTCTGGTGGGAGGTGTCCCTGCCCGTGGCGGGGCTTTGGAACTTCATGATCTTTAGGGTCCCTTCTGACCCAAGCCATCCTCTTACGATTTTTCCCCAGTGAAACCCTGAACAAAGAGCAAAGAGCATGGCCACACATGCCACTGAGGAACCACCAGCGATGCCTTTTTTTTTGTTTTTTAATGTAATAGGCTACTGCTGAGACCTGATGCCCAGGAAACAAAGGACGTGGACCCTGCACCCTCAGCTCAAGAGGTTTTAAAGCCCCAGTTTGGGTTACTGTGGTGCCTGCCCCTTTCCCTGCTGAAAGGTGTACTGCGCAGCCAAGGACGCCCCTTCAGAGGCAGAGGCCAGCGCCAGGAAGTCCTTACGCTTTTTGCATTCAAAGCGAGATGCTTTTTCCTCTTGTAAGAAATGTCTCCTACACCGGAGTCCCCCTAAAACCAAACAGCTCCCTGCGGCTGTGGTGTGACCGGCCAGTCTTCCCCGTAAGCGTGTCCCTGCCGATACAAAGATGATGGCAAGCGGGCGCCAGCTCTGTTCTCTCCAGGGGATGTGCTCTTCTCACAGCTACATCTTTAACAGCTGGCTAGGCCTGGCCATTTCTCGCTTCCCACCTGTTCCACAAGTACCCAGTTTCAAAAGGAATGCGCAGTGTTGTGCCTCTTCTTCTTAAGTGCTTGGGTAAACTGAAACAGTCCAGCATTTGCATTCTGAAAACGTTGTTTCTTGGTAAAAGAGTGTTAATTTAAGAAGGGGAAACAGTTTATTCTTTAAAAATGACTCACCAGGTGTTTTCAATGAGCACAGTAGTAAGGGCATTTTTTCATGGACCTAACTGCATGTACGGGTCATTTACTTTTTCAAAAACTGAAGCCACGTGGCCTTTGGGTTTGTACAGTCTGCTTTTACTTCCTTTTCCTGCACACCTCAGTACATATTCACATTCACAATGATGTCTTTGGGCCTCCACCTAGATTTCTCCAGCATCTAGTGCACAATGGTGGTTACCCTACTTGCAGTGCATTCACTCTGTCAGAGTAAGTATTAACTAATTCAGGATAGTCATCTGTATGTTTCCTAGCTGAAGCAGTCTGGCTTTACAATGCATGCGAGTCTGGATCCTGCAGCTCCAAAGTTTTTTGGTTCGTTTTTTTTTTGGGTCAGTATTCCTACCTTTGTGTAGCATTAACATCAGACTGTGAACTTGCATCTTACACGAGGCTCACTGGGGTAGAGATGGAAAAAATGAAGATCCCTTCCATTCATTGTTTAAGAATGAACTGGAGGAAAGAGTAGGGTGGCAGACTTAGTGCTACATCCCTTCCTGATCTCGCCTTGATAGGTCTTGTCACTTTTGCTCATACATGATAATGCTCATACATGAATGGCATTGCACAAGTTAAAAAACTTCACCCAAGATTAGAGCAGGAAGGAAAAGAAGGTTTGTTGGGAAACTATTAGGAAATTTCAGCTAAGCACTTCAAGAATATGAAATAAACAAGCACAGAAATGCAGGCCGCAACTCCCAAAGAGGGAACATATAATTTCCTTGCAAAAGAAGGTGTAGCACTCACTTTGGGAAGGGAAATAACACTATCATGGCTATTTTCATGTGAATGGCTATTTTTGGTGTTTTTGTTTGTTTTTCTTTCTTTTTTTTTCTTCTTCCTCAGTCTGATAGGGCTTTGTGGCAGCATTAATTTAGAACATAACTTTTTCAGTAAAATGATCGCAAGAGAAACTTACTCTCAGGCTGTGCTCATTTTAGTACTGGTGTCCTTCTACATAGGATCTAGGCCCTAACACTCCTCCCCCTTTGCCCCCCAAATTACAGATGGTTTCAGGATAATACAATGTAAGCAAGAGAAAAAATAACGAGTAACCACAATGAGCTTCACAGTTCCTTCTTACACTAGTTTCCCAACCCAGTCCACATTTCAGGCAATTTCTCAAGGAACAAGAAGGGGTAACCTGATATGGCCAGGGTTATCAGAGACAACCCACAGTGTCAGCTGAGTGTAGGTGGGGAACTCTGCTCCTGAATAAACAGGTAAATGGACTGTGTTAAGCAACAGGTCACATTAGTGAAGGAGAGTAGAAAAACATCTGTTATGCTTGGCTGACTAGGTACGTAGGACAGCACACTACACAGAGACAATTGGCTTTTATTGTACTTACAGCAGTAGTTATTTCTTTAAAAAATCCTCAGGCTTTTTAGTGATATAATAAATCTGTACATCATAGACTTCTTAATTGCACCAACTTAATTTTGTGTATACACAGAAAAAAGAAAAAAAAAGACAAAAAAAAAAAAAAGAAACCCACAGCAGAAGTAACTATCACAGTTGAATGCTAGAGAAAAAAATGCTTTACCCTTCCTGGAATATCAGAGCATAACACATTATTGAGAAATACAGAGTTACAGTATCAGAAAGACCTCAGACACATCCCTCCCAGCTATTTTCACACCATGCCATCACCTTGCATAGTAACAGTTTGGATATCCTGAGTGAATGGTATTATTCACCCTTAGCTTAATCACCCTTGTTATATAGTTAATCTTGAGCTGTTTGTCACCAAGGCTGTGGCTTAGCATGTACAGAAGCATACACTCACTTTAAACACATGAATAAATCCACCTAGGTCCTGTGGAGGTCAAAGCGTGAGGTCAGCTGTTCCCACTCACACTGGGAATGTCTTAGCCAGGAGCTACGGTATATTTAATTCTGTACCAGGATAAGCACATATCTCAAACTTCAGCTCTACTATTCAAAAACTGCAATAAACTAAATTTAAAAAGCCATGCGGCTCCCACCTTGTATAGAGCTCCTGCTCCTTGTAGCACCTTGAGCTACCAGAGCTGAAAAAGATGTTAAAACAAGCGCAACGTTCTTATTTTGCTTCCCCATACACATTTGGTAGTATTTTATATAGTTGACTTTGCTTTTTCCTATGATACTTTGCATATCAAGAACACCAAAACTTTACAAGAAATACATAGCAGAAAGCTTTCACTTGAAAACCACCTGGAACCAGTGAGTTTGCAGTACCAGGAAACGCTGTAAAATTTCACTGATCCTCAAAACTGGTATCACTGCCAGGCAATAGAACACCTCGAAAAAAGCAATGCTGTAAGCCAAGTCCTCCCAAGAGCAAGAAAGTAACTACAGGTCTGTATGACCTGGAGCCCCAACCTCTCTCCCAAAGGAAGAGCAAGGGAAAATCTAACAGAAACCGTAAGAATAAAGCCCAGTATTTATGCCTGCACAGTTTATGACCTGTCCATTAAGTTGAAGTTTGACAAAGGTATTTTGCTCTTTAAAAGAATATGAACTTTTTTCCACAACGGCATTCCTTCTCCTTCCCACTGCCTAAGATTCACAAGTTTCATACATAGTTAGGAGTGAAATGACTGTAATTTCTTCCTAGAGTGAACTGGATATGAAATACTGATGATCTAGGGATAAAGGATCCCCTCCTCTTTAAAGTGACTTTTAAAGTGATCTGAGTCACTTTAGGAAAGTTATCTAGTTTGCATTCACACTTGAGATATCAGGTAGTTTTATTGCTTTCATCTACTAATTGAAATTTAATTCTTGTTCTACTTACTTGGTCAAAATTCACACTAAAGCCAAGGCAAATCTTGGTTAGGTAAGGATGCAGGTTATCTCCATCAAGGCAAATGAAAAGCCAAGATACCATAAAGCAAATCAAACCACAAACACAGATTAAGAAGGTTCAATTATGTGCAGAAAAATTCTTTAGGAAGGAAAAGCAAGCCTTCATCTCGTAGTCCTCATAAAATAAATACCATGCCTTCTTTGCTGTACAGAACATTCTGAAACACAAAAGTGTAAGGAAAGAGGCAAAAAGGAAGAAAAATTTCACAGGCTGTTTCCAAGCTATTATTCTGAAGTAGTTAAATTGGAAGGTAGAAAACAAGTTTTCAGTGTAATACCATGCAGAGATTTGTTTTCCTGTTCAAATGTGTAGTTATTAAAATCATGAAGATTGCAAAACATAAAAGAGCAAAATGATTCCCTCCAGCATCCTTCACGCAACTGCACAGGAAATACTCAGCAACTGACAGGATACATTGCAGTTAGTTATGCCAGTTTACAAATCCAGTCCTCCTGACCCAAACCTGTAGCATAGCGCCTGCTGGTTGTCAGGACACAACTTATGCTGACCTAATTAATAATACACAAAAAATGGACATACTGAGATCTCCTGATTTTAAATGACAACCTAAATCACCTCGGAAGGGGGAGAATGGGATTCAATATTGTGGGCCTTTGGGGTCGTCACGACTGAGCAACTCAGTTGTCCCTTTCTGTTTAGTACCTTAGCTTGTTTTTACAACAGAACATAAACTAGTTGTAGAGGAGTAGGTGAGAAACACACCAGCCAGATATAGAGGTCAAACATCAAACCAAATGGTGTTTATTTTCCTGAGGAGTGAAGTCAATTAAAAAACCAAGACTCCCTTTCTATCCCAAATGCCTTGCTTTCCTTGTCTTAAGAAATAATTATGTCTCAATATACGTGAGCCCAAACTTTCATATAGTTTGCAATATAGGATGTTTTTGGTTCCCACCATCAAGACACACATTTAGGCAATCACCATGACCTTAAGAAAGAGGAACCAAAAAACCACTTCTTCAGTGTGTATCTGTTCTTTAGGGTAAGCTACGAGCAAACCCTGCTCCTGTATTCTGCAAGTTATTCAGTGTTAATTCCACCCCATTCTCTAGTACACGATAAAGCTTCTGTCAATTAAAATCCCAGTTCGGTAATTTAAGTAGACTTCAAGTAGTGTTATGTGCTCCCTTGACGTTCCCAATTCCACCTCTTTTAGTATAAGGGGGTGCTACCCATGGAGCTCAGTCTCACTTTGATTTCTTGAACTCAGTGACCAGTTGTTTTTTTCCTTCAGCAAACAAGACTGAGCATTTAAAACGGCAGGGATTTGACTCCCCTACACTGCCCCATCACATGAAGGGCTCCCTGTAAAATCAAAGGAAAAAAATGTATGTTGAGAGAACATAACATCAGGTTTTTTTAATGCTTGTATCATGAACCACTGTAGAACATACAAATGAAGATACCTAAATTCTACTTTCTATTACATCAACAATAAACAAGAGTGTTTAAGCACATTCAAGCTGGAC